CGGAATTTGAACCTTCAGCTTGTCCAGTTGATGAACCATCGAAATTCCACCATGGAATATCAGCTGGTGACTTTGGTTCCTGATCAAGAGTTCGAGTCTTAGCTAACGAATAATAATTCAACTAGGAAACTGAATATGCGGTCAAGTCGACCAATAATGAGAGGTTACCTCGGACATTCTCTCCGGTACCATCAATCCAGATGTATGTAACCATAACCTTGTTGTCAGGTTGAGGTAATGCTAAATACCGATTGAGAATGGCTTTGTCCAAGCCGCCTGTATTGTTGAATATTGGATTCATGCTGCTGCTGATGATGATGTTGCAATGGAGTATAACTTAATTGAAATGTTATGTATATGAAGTTTTTTTCGTTTTATCTCTACAGTTTATATAGGATGTATAAGTGCTGGACCGATGTCAGTAGAGGAGAATAAAAAATTATTTTCGTTCTTTTTTTCTCGTACTTTTTTTTTTCGTATTCTTCTTCCTCTAGCATAGTTTTGTTGAGTAACTGGTGTTATGTTGTAGTCACGCGCTGGACTTTTGGTTATATTCATAGATTCGTACTTCGAACATGAATATAATGTTGTTTAATAAGTATGATTAATTCATAACGTCAAACGAATAGACTCAAAGCATAAAAGAAAGCTTGCTAGAAATGAAATGTAAAAAAAAGATTTCGTATCCATAGTCGAATTTAATTTTCTTTTGTATTTGTTGCAATAGTTATTTTGGTGGTAAAATTTAATGGAGATAATTAATCGTTTTTCGAGGTCTTTCTCTTTTACGACGAAACTCATCAATCGAATTTTTTTTATGCAGAAAGAAAAAATCTAATCTTCAGTATATTTCTATGCCCGTTGCAAATGTTTTATGGTCCTACCTACAGTTATCTTTTCTAATACTGAGCTTTTCAAGAGGAAGGTGTGAGTTGCCATGACGTTACTGTAGCAAAATATGAGACTTCAAACTTTAAAGTTGAACCTTTGATATTTATTTTCTAGCTTCTATATCCTATATGCATTATGTCCTTTAGTTTTTGGTAAAAAAGACGAAAACAAATTTTCACAATCGTTGTATGCCACTACCTCCCTCCCCTCCGTTGCTGAAAAATATCTGCTTCACTGAACATCGAAACATTCAATTTTTATTTTTAGAAACTTCATTTCTGTCAAAAATAAATCATTGACAAGTTGTCACAAGGATAAGAGAAAAACAAATAAACGACGACATAGCGTTGCATATGATAAAATGCATCAAATGTTATGCATATCAAAGCATCGTTTTACGTCTTTTGTTTCTTTTGTATGGATAATTTCGAAAATATTATTTCAATTCATCTCATATTATATACGCAAATATGTAAGATTTTTTTGTTTCGGTATTTACTAATTATGTTATTGCTTCTAACATATTTTTTATGTTTATTTTTAACGACCATTCTCTCATGATTTTGACAAATATCTCGATAAAGATTTTTTTTTCTCTGCGCCAAGGTTATTTCTTTTTCTTCATTTTATTAGCAACTATTATAATATTTTATTGTACTGGTATGCAAAAGAATAATAAAAATGACAAGGTTCTTGCATAGTTACGAGCGATAGGGCATTTTTATGAAGTGCAAATTACATAATGACGTAGATCTTTTTTGATAAGAGTATTTCGATGAGTTTGCATCATTGTTAAAACCACAGATAAATAAAAATGTTCGAAACTAACTATTTGACGCAGCTTGAAAGTTTATACTTGATAATCGTCAGATATTGGTGATATTGACGTTCATCATTAACCTTATTGAACTTGACTGATCAATCTTTTATTGAATAATTATAAATGTTATAAACAATGAAAAACAAAATCATTTTTAATTTAAAAAGAAGAAAAGAGAAAGAATAATTCACACATGAAAAACAAGTTTTGTTTTGCTAATTAGAAAAGTCTATGTTTTATTTTTATATACTGAGAAGCCGCTAAGCGATATGTATGAAGACCAGCTCCATTTGACTAAAAAATAAGAAAAAATTCATCATCCTGTAAAGATTATATCTGGATGTGCATGATTTTCTAAATAACAAAAACAATAAAGTCAAGATAACAATTAGGAGGAAAATTTCATCGGTACCGAAAATACAACGTGGTCTTTCCGACGGCATCCAACGACCGTGGTTGCATGTTAAACCCGAGGGGCCATGAAGAACGTACCCTGAGAGATCATAACAATCGTATATGAATAATAAATTCTAGAAAGAACTACATACCCATGTTACATTCAAATTCAATCGTTCTACCATGTCCAACATTTGGTATATAAGAACGGAATTCACTACGAATTGGCATTGTTGATACACGTTCATCTTTCAAAACGACAAATATTCGTCCGTTTATTAGTGGACCTGGATTAGTACAAAAGACTAAAAGACAAAAACAAAATTTTTCTCGAAATAAATTCTTTTTTTTAAACCAAACACTTGAAATCTATTGAATTAAGTTCATAAAAGATCTAATAGCTACTAAAAAATACACGTTTTAACTGTTCAATCTTGACTATAACAAAAAGTTGATAATCCAAATCAGAAAGAAAAATGTCAGCAAACATTTTATTATGCTATAATTATGTAAACTGTGTTTTTAATAGGAATACGTTTTTTTTAGAAAATATTCGTGTAAAATATAACACAAAATTCTTCTATGATTATTTTATTTCTCTGTTAGCTCATCTTTATTCTTGCAAGAAACAGTAACTTGTATTTCTGTTTTTTGTTTTTACAACATTTCCATGCACTTAGTCATTCCCACTATTTGCACATCAATTCATCAAAGCTTATCAGTCTATATCAATAATAGACGAGCCAAAACACAATAACATTATATATTATGGAATGGCTCAGAATTGAACGATAGATTTTGAATTAACAAAACAAAAGCATTTTCCTACCTGGTAAACATTTCGGTGGCTGTTTAGGTAACCATTGTCCAAATTGACATGTTACTTTTGATAAGTGATTATTATCAATTCTATAGCCTGGAAAACAACGATACTTTGCTATAGAACCATGTCTTGTTGATTGGAATATAGTTCGACCATTTGTTATGATTGGTGGATGTTCTTTACATTGTCGTGGTACACAATGTGGTTGATGCGATAATTTTCCATCGTCAGAACATTCAACTCTTGCTGATTCAATAATTGGTTGATAATCTTCTGAACATGTATAGACGAATGATGTACCTAGTTCAAATAATGTACCAGACGGTATTGTTGTATTGATAATATTACGTAGAAAAAGCATATGAGGTACAGTACATTGAACTAAATAAAAGGAATTCATACAAAAAACAATAGTATTGCCTTGAATCATATAAAAATTTACTTGATTGGCATATGGGTTGCTTGGAAAGATTTCCATTAATACAACGAATTGTTTCATTAATTGATAACGCTAAAGTATTATTAGGACATGTGTAAGCAATCTTTTCTCGATGACGATAAAATGTTTTTGAAAATTGTATGTTTTCATTATTTACATGGCAATCTAAAAGAAGAGAGAAAAAAAATCGTTGTCATGTTCTGGCATAATTTTTCTACCATTGTAACACATTAATTTTTGTGGTACCATTTTTCCTTGTCGACAAACTATTTTTTGACGATATTGAGAATTTTCACAAATATATTCTAAATGGCTTCCGTCATTGATTTTTCGTTTGAATGAATGAAGATTTATATAACGCGCATTTTGTGGTAATGGCGGAATTGAACAAGACACTGGCTCTATTATTACGGGACAATAAAGATGCTGTTACCTATGCGAAAAGAAAAAACGCGAACCTTCACATGTTGGAATATTTGGTAGCCAAGTTCCATTGATTTGACATTTTGATATACGTGAACCTCGTAATATTAGATTTGATGGGCATTGAAATGTAATTACTGAATCGAGGAGATATTTCAATGAACTATTAATTGATATTAGTTCAATGTGGCCATTAAAATACGATTGAGGATCTTCACATATTATTGCTAAAATTTGAAGTTGTGAAATAGACAAGAAAATAGGAAAAAACAAATTTACGTTCACAGCTGGGTGGTGCTGGTTGCCATTGAGATGAAATACATTTTAGTATGGATGAACCATTTAATTGATATCCATCTTGACAAATGTATTGAATAGTTTCATTTGTCGTTCGATCCGGTTGAATTACTTCACTATGAGGAACTAGTGGAAGTGCACCACATGTTTTTTCTAAAACATTTCAATCAAAATCTATTTAGTATGTTTAGTTTTAGATTAAATTTTGATCTGATTGAATATCTATAAGAAATTTTTCTTTTTTACAGCATTGATTTTTATTTAATCTAGTTTTTTTTTGTTCATCTTCTATAATTGGAAGTGTATAATGATACATTTTTGCTTCCACTTTATTGATAGAAACCCAAAAAGAGAAGCTTGTCCTTCGTAGGTTACATTCATTCATCAAATTGACAACCTTTTACACTTCTAACAAATAATATTTTCTCTTTAGTAAATAGGTCTTCTTTCATCGGTGAGACATTATTTGATCTCTTCAATGTTTGACTCAGTCAATAATCATAGAATAGTCTAAAATTTCAATTAAATACTTCTATTATTTACTTTGACAAACAGGCATACTTCCCGACCATAAACCATTTTCTTGGCAGGCTCGTGTTGTATCTTTTCCAATAAGTTCATATCCATCATTACAAAAAAATGCGATAATATTCGGATAATCAAATCGTTCACCACTTAAAAATCCATTACGTAATATACCAGGTGAGTCACAATCAATTGCTATTATATTTTCAAATTAATAATAACCAATAAAAATTCATTACTTACGCGTGCACTTTAACGTTGAAAATGTCCATTGTCCCAAAAATGTACATTCAGATATTGTTGTACCTGTTCTATAATTGATTTCAACGCAAAAATAAGTTCTCTTTCATCTTCTCTCTCTCTCTCTCTCTGTCCTACCCAACATAGCCAGTTAAACAAGTATATTTAATGGAATAACCTGCATGAAATGTTGTAATCGTACTTGGAACATCATTGACTGCATTTATTATATCCGGTGGACGATCACAAAATACTAGCAATTGAAAAACATAGAGGAGGAAGAAGAGAAAAAGAAGTAAATTAATTCATCAGATCAAATTTATAGTATGCAACTCCCTAATTATGTCATAATTTTCTCTAATTCATTGAACAACAGTACAACAAGTCTAGACTTTCTATGTATATAATACGATGACAACAATGTCTTATACTCATCTTGATACTCATAAGCATGCACGCAATCCTCTTGAACTTTAATACATATACAAAGAATGAAAAACATAACCAAATCAGATTCAACAATCGAGACACTATGAATAATTAGAAGGTCATCAACCTGACTCTTGATGAACTTCATTCATTAATCATACTTTCGTATCACATATTTTTCAAGTTCAATATTCAATTAATTTTTACCTTCCTTAGCACAATATGGTATTACATCGGACGGTCCCCACCACATATCACCTTGACAATAACGATATTTCGAACCTTCAAGCACATAACCTGCATGACATTCATAGGCAGCGCGTGAGCTAAATTTGTTGCCATTCGAATACGTTATATGACCATGTTCAGGAGGAGTTAAAAAAGGACAACTAATGCCTATATATATATATATTGTAATACAATAGATTAATAAAAAAATGGAGTGGGGGAACAGGAAACAGCAAATCACCTCGTTTAACACATGACATTCCACAATCATAATCACATACACATGAACGATAGCGACTTCGACAATCACTATCATCAAAACATGATTTAAAACATTGCCGTTGTCGAGCTACTTCACGTTTACGTGGACAAAACGAAAGATCACGAATCCAATAACCTGAAATGATATGAAGAAGAAGAAAAAAAAGTAAAAGGTTTCATTAAAATTGATTCTATCGCATCTGTGAAAAACAACATTAGTTCAATTTTATATTGATTCATTATCAATGCCCCTCTATTCCTTTTTGACCTTGTTTTTACATGCATTCACTCAATGAAAACAAATGCTGATTGCCACTAAATCACTTCAGTCCACATCTATATGTTAAATGAAGTTAACACTCTTATTATTTTTATTATTCTAACCTGAACTCTTTGAAAAGATTAAGCAAAAAAAGAATTTGTACAATACCTTGACAGTAACTTGTCAATTCCCATAGAAACAATAAAATTATAAAGAAGAATCGTCGGTGATAGAAGCACATATCTATTGTTCGCATTTTCATCGTTATGATCAGATCATCTAAAATTTTAGTTATTTTCTTCTTCTTCATTGAACCGTTTTGTGATACACATTCTTATGATGATATAATTAAAAATATCTTAATACCATGTTCATACTTTTAATCTCTACTCTGTGTACGTGTTGTTTGACAAACAAAAAAACCTATGCACGATATCAAATATATCTTACATATTTAGTTAAATCTATGACATAATATGAAATAATAAGAAAAAAAAACAGCAACTAGTATCTATAGAAGAAGAAAAACGAATGGTCACATCACTATTTACTTGACCACTTTGTGTACATATGTTCTGACCTTGCCGATCGATATATTTATATATATTTTGTTCTGGGAATTGTAAGAGAGGAAAAAATGATTATTGAACAATTATAGATTCTATATAGTAAATAAGTATTGTATTCGCTTAAAGCAAAAACTAGTGATTAGTCCAGCTGCAAAGGAGCAGAGAGGTGATTACGAAAGAAATAATATAAAAACAAGAAAATTATTTAAAATAATAAAATTTTACTATCGATAAGTATCTAAACTTACTTTACATATAACATCATCTGTCATAGCTCAGTATATCATAATTGCTCGACATATTCATATATATACGTATGTGCCCGTGCAAAGAAGAAGGAGAAGGAGAGACAGAGAACGAAGCGAGAGAGAGAGAGAGAGAGAGAGAGAGAGAAGCCAGTGTGTTTAGTTAGGAGTACCAATCTATTGAATAAAGAGAAGGATTCCAATTTATACATTAGAAATATGTAGTACGCATAAAAAAAAGAAATCGGTCTCTTTTATAGACTACATACGGAAGACGACGATGGAGTAGAAAAAAAAACCACGATTTTAGGAGCCATTTTTTTTTGAAACAATATTCACAACTTTGAATTCATATCTTAGAATGGATCAATGATATCGACATGAAAAAGCAAAAATGCTGACCACGTAAGTATCAATTCATGATGAATCGAAAAGTCAACGATTCACTCTCGCGTTCAATTACAATCATCTACATTGCTTTGTACATATAATCCGATAAGAAATGAGCAGTCGACGAATGATATTTTTTAAACTTGCATCATCACACGTCATTAGTACGCGAGGGAATAAGGAAACAAATGTCTTCTCTAAGACCTACGTAAAAAAAAACAGGACAAAGCATTGCCTGTGAACAAATCTTTAGAGATGCGTACAAAAAAAAAAGAAAAAGAGCAACTCATGGTAATATTGAACAATGCACATGCGCATACCACTGCTTAGAGACTACTATACAAATGCGACAACTGCTCAAGAGATGATTTGTTCCTTAACAGAAGACAAACATACATATAGAAAAATGTAGCTGTTGGCATTAAGTATTCAAAAGTGCGATGATGCGAGATAAGTTTCTTTTTTTTTATGAATACAACGGAGTCCCGAAGCTCACTATACTTCTTGAGCACAGTCATAAGAACACAAAAACGACAATTTTACTTGTATCAATGTTGTCCATCTTTATTACACAACAGTATTCTATTATGATTAAGCCATGATGATTTCACATTTTAAAAACCATTCAAGCAAAAATATTCTTTTATTGTTACAATCAGAATATTGAAAGTCTTCGTTTTTTTCTTTTGATAATTTGTTTCATCTATCATGACATAAAAGACACATACACATAAGCATACACACATATACATATATCTATGATGACATACATGTGAGCGTCAACTGTTCAACATAAGTTTTCAAGGACGATGTTATGAATACAACAAAAAAAAACAATGAAAAGAAAAGAACGAGGAACAAGCGATACTGTTTACACGATCATCCTTTACTAACAAACTGGTGTAGTGTATGTTGTAAGGATACATGCCGATCTAAATGATTGAAATGTATTCAAGACAAATGATGCACGTACATGTATGTATAAAAAGAAAATAAAATACCCTCATTACATATTGGTAATTGTTCAGGTCGCCATTTGCCTGAAAAACAGGTCGAACCACGATTACCAACAAGCATAAAACCTTAAGTATGTAATAAAAAAAAGAATTATGAGTGAAAGAAAATAAAAGCAAATAGATCGCAAACTTGGATCACATTCAAATTGCAATGAAGCTCCATGACTTAATGAAACATTAACTGAGAGTATATAACGCGATGTACCATAATTAACAACAAAAATTTTTCCATTACGAATAACACCTGGATGCAGACAAATATCTAAATAAAAAGATAAACATAAAGTGAAAAAATTGTCTTCATAATTCACCGGCAACACATTGAACAAGATTATCTCGATCATAAGGTGATTCCCATTTACCAAATAAGCATCGTAATATTCGTTGATTACTTAATTTATAGCCATTGCGACACTAGAAAGAGAACAAGAAAATGAATGTTTTCGAAAGATTTATTTTCATTCTGTGTACTGAATATTCAGCATGACCACCATGTCGTCTGTTATGATATTTAACATAGCCATTCTTAATCCAATAAGGATGTGTTGTACAATTTTCTAAAAGAAACAATAGAAAAATAATTTTGTTTAAATTTAAATTTAATATTTACTTGGTTCGCATAATGGCTTTGGTGTCAGATTTCCTTGCGTACATGTCACATTTGTCATGCGCGCATAACCATCTATACATCCGTAATCAAATGATTCTCCTTCGCTCAAGATCGTATTTATGCTTGTATTGTTATTCAACAATACATACGGAGTATCAAATGGAATTCGACATTTTCCAGAAATTCCTTTTTTTTTGTTTAAATAGGAAAATTAACAAAAATTAGAAAACACGATTTAGCTAACAAAAAAAAACACGACATACTCTCTCGACAATGAGGACCCCCATTCGTCCATTCTCCATCAATACATTGAACAAACGCTGGCTGCACTAACGAACAATTATATACTGATGTCGATTGGCATTGACACAAATATTTAATTGAATAACCATGCCGAATATATGCACCTGTTTGCAATTCTTTTCCATACCAATCATTTGTATTATCATCTATATAATAGCCGATTGTATTTTTTCCTAAGTCTGGTAGACGACATTTTGCTAAATAGTGTAAAATCATTTGAAAGAGAAAACATGAAACAAAACTAAAAACAAATTTACCATAACATTTCGGTAACATTGGTTTCCATATTCCTTGATTATCGCATACGATATAATCAATCATTGGAATAAGATCATAATGTGTACTATGAGTATTATTGCATGTAAGACCTGTACCTTCGCCCGACGGAAATATTGAACGTGAATTTAAAACATAACCATTGAAACCATCTAATGTTGGATGTTGACACCTTGCTTCAATACATTGTGGTCGAATATTTTGCCAGCGACCTTGCTTACATTCGATTTGTGATAGAGAATCTTTTAATACATACCGTTCGAAACAAGCATATTGAGCATAAGTCGATGTTGCATTAACAAGATATGCATTTGGTATCGATGGTGGTTCGCCACATGGAGATTCTTAAGATTGACTAGATGTTGTATTGCACAATAGAAAAATTCATTGACTTACTTAAACATCTTGGAGTTTCTATTGGTGACCATGTTCCATTTTTTAAACATGTTAATGCAGGAGATAGTCGATCAAGTTCACAACCAGGATTACATTCAATACGTATTTGTTGATCAGGATAATAGACTTGTTGTTTTGGAGTATAATCACCATTTGTTATTGAAATATCCATTATACAAACTTCATCTGATAAGCAAGAAGAATTTTAAAAATATTTCATTTTCATCTATTTACCTTTACGTATACAGTAAACATCAACGACTGGTTCCCAAAAGCCATCACTTACACAGATACGTTCTTTCGGTCCCAATAGTGTATAACCTGCATTACATTCATAAACAAGGCGACTATAAAATGAATGACCATCATAATGTATTCGACCATGTGGTGGATTATTCATTATTGGACAAAGATACCGTTCGGTGACAATAGCTAAGTGTGAAGATAAATTCATTATATATTAAATTTTTTTTTTAAGGTTTTACTTCTTGAAAGACAAGAAAATCCACAATTATGATCACAAATACAAATTTTTTGATGACGACAATTTGTATTTTGATTTAGTCCTTGACAAGATCGTTGACAGTTTCTGTGAACATTTTTTTGTCTTGGACATCCGTTTTCTGTTTGATTCAATGGTAATAATTCATTACCAAACGTTGGTGATGGTTGATAATAATTAAGAAATGATGTTAGTGTCGATGCCGAATAGAAATCATAATTATTTCCTGTTATCGATGATGCTGTTGTCGATCGTGTGACTAGACGATGTCGATAGATATATGTTTCAGTTGTACTTGCACGACCTTGTTGTTCTAAGTTCAAGTGATGTGCTTGACAAAAAAATTTCAATATAAGTTCAAAACAGAGAAAAAGAACACGGAATTCTGCGATGTCATTTTGAAAGAGAATATCCGCAATTGATCAAGAGATGTTAATACAAAGAAAAACAATGCCTGTTAATAGTAACTAAATAATAGTAATGTTCATATAGATGATATCAAAATAAAGCAATGCTCGTGCTTAATAAAAGCATAGTGAAGAAAGCAGCCATCGCCGATTTCAACTCAGAGCCATGAAGACAAGCATGGAAGACTTACGAGTTGTTCAATATGAAGATAATACATGTGATAAAGTACTTACGAAATGTCGTACTGAGAAAAAATAGACAATGAACATATTTGTTTAATGAGACGAGATTCAATAGAATCGATAGAGTAGAGGTTCCCCCACTCAAAACTAATGATCAAAAGAGTATACGAACTATAAAGAACATTGGAAGATGATAGTTCATTAGATATGCAACAAAGTCAAGCGTTGCGAGCCTTAATCAAGAATTATTCCCAAGCGGAGTAGTCGCTGAGACACAATCTTGGAAAACATTCGCTTTTCTCTTGCAAAACTATATTATCTTATTCACTGTTGTTTTGTTCATCGATGTTCACAACAAGTATGAGTTTCCTGAACTTAATCTTGTTGACTCGCAGCACTTTTGACCTTAATTCAAAAAAAAAATACTTATCCAACAAAACATATAAACCACACAAAAAAAATTACTGTACACAAAAGTGAAAAGAACAGTAACATCGGTATGATTGAAGTATTCAAAAGAAAAAAACATTTATAATCTTGTAGCATTTTATATTTTTTCTTGTTCTTATTAAACATTTGATAATCCTTAAATAGGCTAATCGAATTTATCACATTTAATTAATAAAGAAAATATTCTTAATTTATCTTGTAAACATTAATAATTGATATGATGAGAAGGCGAAAGAAACGACGATCATGCACACACAGAAATAAACATATATAGATAAAAGACGTTTTCATGCATAAAAATATGCAAAATTTCCTTTTAAATAATTTGATCATACTCATCTATCACTACTGCCGATAGCTCTCATCATACCTGCAATATGGACAAGCAATGGATTTCGTATTGTATTGACGTATTGAAATAAAATAAAATATATTATTCTTATTTCGTAATGCATAGTGCATAGTTACACAACGATGAACATGCAAAGAAAACTTTTTTTTTATGATAATGATGAAGACAGTTGCTTTCACTTGCTCGAGCAGCAACAATCTGAGTATTAATGCTTGTCTGTCATTACTTTCTTTCCGCTCTTCTCTCTCTCTCTATCCATCTTTTCCGACATCGAGGAACACAAAAAAACGATGAATAAATTTCATGTTCTTCTCCCGAACTAAGACAATCAGACAGAATGTTCCATTCTTCTTTTTTTTATTCATTTCAAGATATTTGCTTTTATTATTAGTACTAATCATACATGCATATTCAATAATGTCAATAATGTCAAAGAAATAAAATCGATTACCAGAAGAATAATGGTTTATGATCAAAATTTGAAATTAATTCAAGGCTGTCAATAATTATTGATAAATCTTCGTGAAAATGGTTTGATAATATTGAATAACAAAATGATTTTAAATCATTTAAATTTGATAGAATATTTGAGTAGACTTTTAACCATTGATAATCGGAATAAATGCCATATTTATTTATAAAATAAAATGTTAATATGGAATGATAATTAAAACGAAAATTTGTTTTTGAAAGATATTTTTCTATTTGAAGAAAACGTTTTCTATGTATAGAACGATCACATTTATGTGATTCATTTTGAATTATTGATGATAAATAGCGAAGTGAATAACCATAGAGTTGTTTTGATTTAGAAAATATTATAACTAAAATGTGTCGTTCTAATTGATAACATATTTCACCAAGTAAACGTTCATCTATTTTATTTTTGAATAAAAATAGAATGGTAAGAAGAAGATGAAGAAGAAAAAAAAAGAAATCAATCTATTTGCCTAAGAGAGAAGTGGTAGAGCTATTATTTTTGTTATATTCGACCGATAATTGAAGTTGTTTAGTTAATAATTTAACATCATCTGTTATTTTTTGTAATCTATTGAGATTTTGTTTAGTTTCCGTACTTATTATTAATCTTTGATTATCTTTATTGAAATACTGATCTAGCCGTTCTTTAAGAGATGTTTCAGTCAATGGACAATCATCGGAAGATTTTTCTAATATGTCAATAATAGTTGTATTTATATTTGTTTCTTGAATTTGACGAGCGAATTTTTTTGGCTGACTAGAAGAAGTAAATACTTTCGATTCGTTTTTTAGTTGCGACTGCTTTGTAGTTGCAACAATAAGCCCATGTCTAAAGAAAAGAGCTTTTCAAGATGAATAAATTATTTTATTTTATTTTGTATGTCATTATATGGATACTAGAAAATCTATTGATATAATTTAATCAATAGAAAATGAAAAATTTTCCATAAAACATTAACTGTTTTTTGATTCCATTGAAAAGTTCAAGCGCAAGAAAAAAAAACTAAACTAGTTCATATTGTTCGTCTAACCTCCGGTGTCAAAAATTTTCTATAAAAAAAACTGGCATAGTGTTCTTACTCTTATCGTGCTGATTGAGATGCTGTCAACGATGTTCCCGAGTCACTAGGATTAGACCCATCTTCCGCTTGGGACAGTTTTAAGTAAAAATAGAAGATTTTTATCAAATATGACTAGTTTGTACACGACATGATGTTTTTTCTTTTTCATTCTAGAAAACATCAGTTCAACTTTTCTGATTAGTAAAGGTTGACTAATTCTCATTTCGAAATTTATACTAAAAAGTAATTTTGCAATCAGACACGTTATTCCTAAGCATGGAAAAAAGAAAATTATTGTCATGAATCAACCCTAGGGTGTGACTTGTTGTAAAAAATTAATTCTGACCAAAGAATGTTTTTCAGCTGTATCTGAGCTTATCTATTAATATTAATACTTCAAGTAAAAATTATATAGACATAAAATATCCCAACTTTTCATTCAATCATGAAGTCACTCGAATGTTTCCTTTTCTCCATTGTCACTATATCCATCGTCTAATTAGAAAGAATGGATGAAAAAAGACAAAAAGGAAAAATATCGAAAACATCACCCTCAATTTTGTTTTCGACATTTTCCTTTCGATATTTTTACTTTATGTCTTTTCCGATCATACCATTGGAAACACTTAAATATATTTTCTTTTACGGCAAACAATGTCAATTTATAGTTTATCGACAGACAAATACATGACTTTTACTGTTCTCGCCACCACATATGATCGCAATATTTTCTCTTCAGCGACACGATACTTTAAAAACTTCAAGCAATTAAATGTGTAATAAAAAAGGATTATTCCTGATCTTAAATCTCACGAGAACAGTTGCTGCTGAGGTAATTATTTGCAATACAATATTCTTTTTTCCCCAGTAGATATGTTTCAATGCGTGTACAAACATGTTGTCTTGTGTGACAAAAAGGTTGAGTCATGTAAATCATCCTATCTGTTATTGCAATATAATCGTTACTTTTTCTTTTTGCTATCTTATTGCTACGTGTACCAGAACGTAGTATTTTTGTTTTCATCTCATGAGCGTTGTTACAAAGAAACAATCATAGAATGTTTTACATCCGCTCACTAAATAAGCCTTTCTGGCCTTTGCTCACGTGCTAATCATTTCAAATTTCCGATGTCGTCATGTAGAAAAAGAAAGAATCAGAATAAATCGTAGTAAACATGAAGATTATTTACCAAATAAAAAACTATCTTGGTATGTTTTCAATATGAAAAACATTTTAATCGTTCGCGCTTTTTTTGTTTTGAACACATAAATCAAATTTTCTACTACAATTTCAATTAGAATTTTACCTTGTTGCATATCGTTGACAAATATAATTTTTCTCTATCGATTGATTTTTCGTTTTAGTCAAAGTTTCTTTTTTTATTGAATGTCTTGTTAATTCTAGATCAAATTCTATGTTTGATTGTTTGGACATAATGTTGCACTTTTTTTTCTTCTTTTAATCAATAAAGTATACGTTTCAATTGTCATCAAACGGTGTCCTCTTTTATGTACGAAAGAAAATTTCTCATTGGTTAGATCGTTGGCAAATAAATTATGTAAGAACGAGCTGTTTAACAATCGATCGCTCGGGTCGCACGCACAGGCGATGCTACTAATTGTCCACCATGATGGTTTTTTTTCGAGAATTTCGTTGTCATTGTAAAATATGCATATGTAATCAAAGTCAATACAATGTTATTCTTAGTTCTATTTCAACGATTATATAAAAATCGATATACTCATAGATATTATATTGTTTGATAGAATCGGAAGTTTCTTAATATATATATATATATATATGTATATTTATGCTTATTAAAAACCAATGACGATGAAGAATCTTTAGCCTTTATAGTTGATGTGTTTTTTCTTTTCTCTACATTTCAATTCTATGTAATAATCATATGGAATATCAGGTATGCCCTCTATCGATAAGTAAAATGATGTTTTTCTATTTCTAGATATGAGTTTTTACTTATTTATTAATAATAATTATTTTATAGAATGAATCTCGTATCAAAACCATCCGAAAATCAATTTAATTCTCGTGGTAAGAACATGAAAATCTTATTTCAATGATTTCAATAGATAGATTTATTCTAACAGGTCAAAATGTCCTTCCAATAGATAATAATTTTCCATCGTTTAAAATATTTCCTCAACGTAGTGATTCAATAGATAACAGTAATAATCGTGCATCGCCATCAAACAATGGTCAAGGGATAACACCAAAAAATCCAAGTCCAACAGATATCGATGAACATGAATGTAACCCACTAGCGGTATCACCATTTCGATTATTTGGTACGTCGACAACAGTATCAGCATCAAATCAAACTCTAGTGAAAACTCCGAATGCAAATTCATTGAAGAAATTTTCCTCAACAACCGATAAACCTCGAAGAAAACGAACGCCAAAAGTCGAAGATAATAGTGATGGACAAAAAGTCAAAAGAAGAAAAAGTGAATTGAATATGAATCAAAAACAATTAACATTAATGGAATTACAAACACCAATAACAACAGAGAAAAAAGTCAATTTAAATCCCGAACTATTTACAGCGAAAGTAAAAAGCTTGTGATTTTTTTTTGTATAAAATTTTTAAAAAATTTCTTGTGTTTTTATTGAAGAATTCTGCTAATTACCGTGAAATTGGTTTTTCACCAGTTTCATCAGCTCAAAGTGATTCAGGGTCAAATTCAAATCATACATCTGAATCCTCGAATAATTCCACAACTAATTCAAAACAAACACAAGTAAATTTTTTTAAATTATTTGTTTAATAAATTCTTTTCTTGTTCATTAGACCGATATAATTGGAGCAATAACTTCAACGTCTAATGAACTTGAAGCAAAGAACAGTCAAATACAAATGTTAACCAGAGTATGAGAAATAAATCGACAAACAATAAAGTATAAATTACCGATCTTCTTCTTTCATTAAGGAACGAGACGATCTACGGCGACAATTAACTGATACCAAAAAAGATCTCGATAAACAAACGAATATACTTCAGAAATGTCTTGGTGTTAATAAGAAATTACTAGTAGAAAAAGTAAGCGCATGAATCATCTTAGAACGGTCTTAGCTGATAGTTTCAATCTCAAGTGTAACACTTGTAGCGATAAGAACGAAGCGTCTTCTTTCGAGAGGAAATTTTTATGAGATCAAATGAATATAAACTATTAAGATATTTCATTGCCATCGTTACGTCTTCATTGATGTTCAACAAATCAATGAACTGAAAGAATCTATTTCTAAATAGACTGTTCAATGTTGAGATTGTAAAATAAAATCTCTTTGTTTTAGTCAACACTCGAGCGAAAGCAAGCCAGACAAAAATGTATGGAGAATCGTTTAAGACTTGGCCAATTTGTGACGCAAAGACAAGGTGCAACATTCGTAGAAAATTGGACCGATGGAACAGCGTTTACTGATATTACAAGGTATACATTTATTAATTTAATCAATTATTAGTCATTGTTATCGTTGTTTTTTCTTCTTTCTATTAGACAACAAGAAATGCTTCAACGTGCTCGAGAAGAACTCGAGCGTGAGCGTCGTAATTTATTACGTCGTCGACCCATTTATGAAGTGAAAGAAAAACCAATTAAAATATCAGTTACAAGAGCAAAAAGTAAAGATCGCGGTAGTTCGTCTTTAGCAACAAATGATGAAAGTAGTAATGATGGTATAAAAACAGCAAGCGATGCAAATAAAGCGTAAGCTGACAAACGTTTTTCGTTTGAATTAAATTAGACTAAATCGATTTATTTTTTCAAGAGTGTTAATAAGTGATTGGTATGAATCGGATGAAGTTTTACGTTTACGCAATGCATCCTTGAAAAAAGAAGAAGTCGATCTACAAATTGAATATGAAAAACTTGAACGAGAAAGAAATTTACATATTCGAGAATTGAAACGAATTTACAATGAAGATCATTCCAGGTAAGATTTTAATTAAATCAACAAACATCGTGCGTAGTTCTCATATGCTCATAGAGAAATTCTTATTTTAGCATGTACCGGAAGTAAAAATATGATTGCAGTCCTATTAATAGGACATTATTTATATTATGAGTCATTGATTAGAATGTTTATCTACGCTGAGTTGAATAAGACTGAACTAGAAACACAATCCCTATGAGAGATCAGTGGAATCAATTGTTGAAAGACGATAGATTCATTAGTATTCTAAATTTGCGTGGGCTATAATTTAATATCATGAGTAGGATGTGCTCACTGATCAATTCTCTATAGTCAAATGGGTAACTGTTGTTAGTTATACGATTAAAACTTTATGCAGCTGATATTATATTTAACCTTGACTATAAATGAGAAATATTATAGAACCGAATCAATACTTGGCACTTATTTATTGGCTAAATGAACCTTAATTGTTTTTGTAGATAAGTTAGGCATCAATTTTTGTTTTGCACCTGACAACCCGATAAAAGTTTATGGTTACCTGATTTAATCAATCATCTTCGGAAAACTTTTTTTTGTCTGATTACCATATTTATAATTATTTTAAAATCTTCTTCTTTTCCGCTTATATTAATAGATAATTCCATGTTGTATGAAAATTTATCCATAATCTTTTATTTTCTTTATTTAGATTCCAAGATCATCCTGTTCTCAATGATCGTTATTTACTGCTCAGTCTGATTGGTAAAGGTGGTTTCAGCGAAGTGCATAAAGTAAAATCAATAAATAAAGTAGTCTAAATTTAAATCAGTGCTTTTAAATTTTATCTAGGCCTTCTGCTTAAAAGAACAAAGATATGTTGCTGTTAAAGTTCATCAACTTAATAAAGAATGGAAAGAAGAAAAAAAAGCAAATTACATCAAGTCAATAATATCCTTTTTCTCTCTCATTATTTATTCATCAAATCTTTTGTTTTATTTTTAGGCATGCTTTACGTGAATGTGACATTCTCAAGACACTTGATCATCCTAGAATTGTTCGTCTCTATGATGTATTTGAAATCGATACAGATTCGTAAGAGATTAAAGTGTTATTTTTACTTTTCACAAAGTTTTTTTTTTTCGTCTTGTTTTAGATTTTGCACTGTGCTGGAATATATTGAAGGCAATGATATAGACTTTTTCTTAAAACAACATAAAGTAATACCTGAAAAAGAAGCACGTTCAGTTATGATGCAAACTGTTAGTGCATTACGATATTTAAATAATGGTATCAAACCGCCTGTAATTCATTTTGATCTTAAACCAGCCAATATTCTATTGGGTTCGGGTACAAGTAGTGGTGAAATTAAAATAACTGATTTTGGCTTAAGTAAACAAATGTGTGAAGATACATATGATCCAGAACATGGTATGGACTTAACATCACAAGGAGCTGGAACTTATTGGTAAAATTTTGAAGCTTGTTTCTTGATTACATTATGAGTTTTTGTTTGATTCATAGGTATCTACCGCCCGAAGTATTTGTTCAGGGACCAAATCCACCTAAAATATCATCAAAAGTCGATGTATGGAGTTTAGGTTGCATCTTTTTTCAATGTTTATATGGACGAAAACCGTATGGTCATAATCAATCGCAAGCAGCTATACTTGAAAATCAGACAATATTAAAAGCAAAAGAAATCGAATTTCCAGCTAAACCCATTGTATCCGATGGAGCCAAAGTATGATAATTTCGTACGAAAAAGAAACATAAAATAAAAATTTGAAAATTTTCCTTTAGACATTCATAAGGCGATGTTTAACTTATAGTGTTCGTGATCGACCCGATGTGAATCTATTAGCCGATGATGAATATTTACGTTCATATCCAAAACGTGCAACAACAAATGCATCAGCTCGAACAGCTCAATTGACGATGAATGACGGTTCAAATTAACATAATACAAAAAAACAAAACAAAGATACAAGAATAGTATCCTTATACCATATACTTATTTATTACATAACAAAATGTGTTCTTTTGATATATATATATATATATATATTTTTGATTTCCTGATTATTATTTTTTGTTCTTCTTTAAAGAAACACACAAGCATCATCGCTTTAAACAAACAAAACAAAACTCATTTGCGTGTTTAATCTTTTTGTCGACTCACCAACATCGACCATTTCTGTCTTATATTCAGTTTTGTCATTGCTCTTATAAACTTTTCCTTTTTCTTTACATATATATATATATATACATATAAATGTATGTATGTCGAGGGGTGAGGGTGTAAATAGATGAGTAGATAATTCTTTATCTTTTCTTTTCGTTTGTGATTGAAAAAGAAAACTCACAAATACAATTGTATCGTGTCTAAATCCGTTAGCAAGCAAATCCGAAGAGGTTGTATTGGTGCTGATTATAGAAGGAATAAAAACAGAAAGAGCAAAAAACTTCTTATTTTTTCCTTTTCATTTCTCGTTCACCTGCTTTGTCTTTTGTCTAGTCTTTAACGACGACTTTTTTGTTATTTGGTTCAACAATATGCACACATTTGTCTTGTTTTTCTTTTCTTGTCTTATGTTTTGCTTTCATCATCCATTGCTCTTTCTTTTTTTCTCGTCTTTATGTTTGTACTGTACACGTGTGTATTTCATCTTCTTTAATATAGACTCAATTTATGCGTTCTTTTCTCTTTGAAATAAAGAAAAGAAAAAAAACATATATGCATATATATATATATATATAATTATATCGAATGTTATTTATTTGATTTTTACCGTAAAATTAATATGAAAGTTTTGGTTCAATGGTTAAAGAATAGGAGCTGTGAGAAGGTTGATGGTTCGAATCCTGGTCGATGCTGATATGATGTAATTACGTATAGTTATCCCTGTCTGAAGACCGTGATGTTTCTATCGGTTTAGAGAACTGATCAGCATTCGATACGAGTTTTTATTTCAATTTTCTAATTGAAAATCGTTTTGTTTTATTTTATTAATTCTTCAGTTTTGGGAAGAAACCATATAGAAACAAAGGATAGAAACAACAAAGCTTTCTTTTCGTATTTGATTAATGTAATCGAATATTTACCATATTATTGATTTTTTAAAAATATCTCTAGATTATTTTACTAAAAGACAAAAATTCAATTGTAATAATGGATGAAATTTTTGCTTGTGCTAAAAATATTCTTGTTATCTGGGCTACTGATGTCAATCCAGAAAATTTACCAGGCTTTCAAAATATAATACAAACAAAAGCAAAACAAGCTGTTATTGCATTTGAAAATGCTGAAATGGTTATCGAATGTAAGTTTAATAAAGATCGAAATAAAAATATTCATTTTTGATTTATGTAAACAATAATAGCTAAACGTGCATCATCATCATTTGATATCGTTCTTTTTGGCCTTGTAAGTAAACGAGAGACTCGAGCAACTACTGATATGTTAAATGAACTGTTTCGTGTACTTCGTCCGAATGGTCATCTAATAGCACTTGTCGAACATACAACACAATTACAAACAGTTGATCAATTTAAAATGTGTGGTTTTACTAGTTGCAGTCCACTCGATACGAATTCATCATTTCTAATCGAAAATAAAGATGATCACGTTAACAAAATGAGATCATTATGGTTATGTCAAAAACCATCATTTGATATTGGTTATTCAGTGCCATTACGTAACGGGAGTGACACTCGTACGGGTCAAATATCATCCTTAACAGCTAGTGGCAAAACGACATGGACAATGGACGATGATGATTTAATTGATACCGATGAATTATTAGATGAGCAGGATCGAAAAAAACCTGATGTTAAAAGTAAAGTTATGTTTCTTTTCAGTCTCCTAACAGAATCTGTCTAGTGGAGAGAACATTTTATATTTCCACACACTTTTCTTGCGAAAAAATTCTATAATAAAATACACTAATCAAAAAATAGGTTTCACCAGGAACTTCAATTTGACATGCTCTTTCAATAAAATGAGATAAAATAGAAAGGTTCGAAAAGAGAAAAGAAAATAAAACTATGTGTTTTTGTTATCAATTATTTTTGGAACACATGAAAATAAAATTCATAGAAAAATATCGCTAATAAATACAGAGCAATACTGTTCCGTCGCTTGCATAAGAAGTTTTCAGTAAACTTATTTTTCGAATTTAACTGTGCCAGATTGTATCAACATTCTAGCGCCGAACTGTGAACGTCCATGAGACTCGTTAATGAGGAGTTGTATTTTTTTTTAATATAGCATATGATTGTGGCACAACATCAACTGGTGTTCGAAAAGCATGTAAAAATTGTACATGTGGTTTAGCTCAAGAGCTTGAACAAGAAGAACATACAGAAGCAAAACAGAACGTTAAATCATCATGCGGAAGTGTATGTATTTAAGAAAAAACTATGCTACTTTGATCAACAATATGTGTGTTTTTTTTGTGTAGTGTTATTTGGGCGACGCTTTTCGGTGTGCTGGCTGTCCGGCACGTGGTTTACCTCCATTTAAACCTGGCGAACGTGTTATCTTACCAAATATGGCCGATGCTTGATATCACTTCGTTAACTTTTCTTTTTGATTTTATGATGTTATTCATGCGCTTGATTAATAATCTTTGCTTGTCGGAAAAAAAACATCATAGACAAATTTCTTACAGTAATTGCCTACTTTCTTTTATAAATAATCAAGAAAAAAAAAGAAAATGATTAATATTCACTCTTATAATAAATGCTTGGCTCAGTCTTGAAATTACAAAATCCCTAATATATCAGCACATCTAACACCAATAATCAATCAAGCTTGATCATTCATCTCGACATTTTCATATAATGAGCTTCTACCTGATGTTTTGAAGTTGGTCATCTATGAATGATTCGTTGTTTTTAATTGTTCAATAAAATTCACATTCAGTATTTTTTTAATCAACAAATAATGAGGAAATTAAATCAATGCCGTTCACCTTTTCCTTAATTTTAAAACATCTGAATTAGTTGAAAAAGATTTTATTTCAATCTAATTTTCTTGAACAACAATTATGTAACAATCCAAAAATGAAAAGTATCATTTCAATATCAACGATCAACAGTTGTGTAATAACCTTTGCAAAAAAAGTCAATTTATTTCTGTAAAAAATTATCTCACCGTACTCCAACCAAGTGAAAACCTACGACTTAGATGATATAGAATCATTAATCAAATAGTTTCGGCGTATTTTTCTAATTAAGATTCTAAAACTTATTTTCTTTTCAATAAAAGTGCATCAATACTTTTTGTCTTTGAGTATATGAAAACGAAAACATAGGATTTATTTTAGTAATTTAATACAAGAAAAAAACCCCAACAGGGTGTGGATGTCGGATAATACAGGATTCCATCAAATAATCCTTTGTTGCCAAATTTGAGAGTGTGACAATAAAATGAAATATAATGGATACTGATAAAAATACGATCGAATGGAAAGCATTGCTTGTCCTTGAAGTTATTGCACAGAATTAAGTCGAATATCAAGTTACGAATGATGACTTTGATATACTGATAAAAACCACATGATTCTTCATTTTATTAATTTTTAAACAGTACTGATAACCACCTATTGTGTCTGGAATAGTGATGAAATTTCTCTTGTAAGCAAAAACAAATATATATATATTAAAAGAAACGGTTTCTTTATTCTATTTTAGCCTCCTTTCTGCATTATTATTCTTGACAATTAATCAAGGTATTCTATACGAAATTATTTTCTGATTCAATCAAAATATTCTATAGGTTATTCAAAACGAGTAATATGCTATTATACAAATTGGTCTGCTTATCGGCCAGGCGATGGAAAATTTTCTATTAACGATATTGATCCAAATTTATGTACGCATATTATATATTCGTTTGCACGTGTTCAAGGAAATGGTTTAGCATCAACTGAAGGAAGCGATCCTGGTTTGCCAAGAACATATAAATACTGAAAGTATAGAATATATCTTCTTGTTTCTAGAAATGTATAAACAAATCATGGCCTTAAAACAGCAAAATCCTGATTTAAAAATTTCGCTTGCAGTCGGTGGTTGGAATCATGGATCGGCACCATTTACACAAATGGTTGCAACAGAACAATCACGAGCAGAATTTGTTGAAAATTCATATAAATTTCTTAAAGAATATGGATTCGATGGTCTTGATCTTGGTATACATCTATATATATATACATATATATATAATTTTGATTTCAATCGTAATTTGTTTTTGTAGATTGGGAATATCCAGCTGATCGTGGTAGTCCTCCTGAAGATCGAGGACGTTTCACAGAATTAGCTAAGGTAAAAATTTGACTATTAAAAATTAGTCATGTGATTAATTTCTTCTATTAGCAATTAAGTGCAAAATATCAACAAGAAGGTCTTTTATTATCAGCTGCAACACCAGCTGCACCTTCAAAATACGATGGTAGCTATGAACCTGAAGTTTGCAAGTAAAGGATAAAATATTCAATCGATATATTAAATGACATGTATTGTAGATATCTCGATTTTGTTAATATTATGGCATATGATTATAGCGGCCCATGGGATAGAGTTGCTGGACATAACAGTCCATTAACAAGTCAAAAACAGACAGTTGAACATATGATAAAAAAACCAGATTGTACACCTGACAAGTTAAATTTAGGCATGGGTGCTTATGGGTAGATAATATTTTAGGATTTATTTTTTTTACTCAAAACTGAATGTTTTCCTTGTATACTTTCAGACGAACTAATAATCTTGCCAATCCGTCAGTCAGTAATATTGGTAGAAAAGAAAAAAAGCCATTTTATATTATTTATAATGTGCTGGTCTTTTTTCTTCTAAATTAGGTGCTCCTACTACTGGCGTGGGTGCTGCAGCTGGTAAATATACAGGAGAAAGTGGTTTTTTGAGTTATTATGAAGTATGTGAAAAACTCAAGGAAGGTTAGTTTTGTCTAATAATAAAAGAGAGATTTCATATGTCAAATCTCTCATTAGGATGGCAAAAAGAATGGTCAACCGAACATCAAGTACCCTATGCTCATTCGGGTTCCAGTTGGGTTGGTTATGATGACAAAGAGAGTATTGCTCTTAAGGTAAGATCTTTATTTTGATTTTAATAGTTGTAAGCATGCAGAGAAATCATAATGACCAGAGTAACAAAAAAAGAAGGAGACACACGATAAAATAAAGAAAAAAATAGGCACACGCGAGTATTTTCAAAAATACTACTATATTTGAGGTAATGCATGACTTTGAAAGAGTTAACCAAAGAATTTTTGCCAAAACTAGACGAAGCATTGCGGATTAGAATAGTATCTATGTTAATTAATCTGTTTGTAAGTAATGCATTGAAACAGGCTGAATATGTCAATGAAATGGAATTAGGTGGAGCTATGTTCTGGGCGATGGATTTAGATGATTTCCGTGGTGATAAATGCGATGAAGGAAAATTTCCATTAATCAATACAGCAAAAGAGATTGTCAATGGAAAAGAATCATCAACAAGACCAAGTACAACACGCACTACACCTACGACTACTGGCAAAGCTACTCATCAATCAGCAACTGCAAAATTGTATTGTTTAGATTGTGAGTATAAAAATCTTGCTAATATTGAACAATGCGAGAAAAATATATTCTTCAATTTTTCTAGCGAAACAAAAGCAAACTTATGCTAATGTCTCAAACAATTGTCAAAGTTATTATGAATGTTTAACAACACCTAGCGGCCAACAAATAACTATATCACGAACATGTCCTTCTCCGCTCATCTATTCCGAAGATAAAAACAAATGTGTCAAAGAAAAAGAATTACAGGATTCGCCTATTAAATGTTCAACAAAATGTAAGAATTCAATTTTCATTTGAAAACTTCTAGTTTTTGTTTCTATCAGTTCGAGCTCCGGCATCATCAGTATCGTCAACTAATTGTTGGGATCCATCCTCGGTCGTAGTTGACTCAATGTGCCGTTTCTTTACAGATTGCTCAACTAAAAGTCGTTATGAATGTCCGCCCGGTTCATTATTTTCATCAAGTTTAAAACGATGTGTACCAAAACAAAATGTTCAATGTTGGTAGTAGTTCTTTCAAATAAAATACTAATTATAATAAGAATAAATAAAGACAAGAAATCATTATTCATCTTCTATTCTATCTAAGATTGATATCATTGTCGGACTCATGTAATCATATGTTCTCTACTTTTGTTTTACACCACAAAGCTATCATATTCAATACTTCACTTGTCAGTTTTATTCCCACATATTTTACTGGTTCATAAAATCTACAATTTGAATATGTTCATAACAGAAAACACACGCTGAAATGTGAATTTTATTATCTGATATCACTGACGAAGGACCGGTCCCAAGTGATTCGCACCGTTGGGTCTAATATTTTTCTTATAGGAAGGATCCAATGAGACTAGGAAAGGTCTAATGGCACGAAATCTTTTAGACTTTTTCTAGTCTCATTGGATCCTTCCTATGAGAAAAATATTAGATCAAACGGTGTGAATCGCTTGGGGATGTTCTACCGTGAGAGGCTTAACAAAAAAAAACAGACAAAAGAATCATTTTGACATTTCTTCCGATCAACAAGCTTGCTAATAGATGAGCAATTGCTTAGTATTCAAAAATCAAGAAACAATCGTATTATTCTGCCAAACAGCATACGCCGATTCAGATTCGCTTTCTCAATACGGTTATTGAAGTTATAGGAAAAAAGCGGCAATTCTATTCTACTGTCTCTTTGTTTCTAGCTCTCTCTCTCTCTCTCTCTCTCTCTCTTTGTTTCCATTCCATCCTAATATTTTCTCTCTCTGTTTATTCTCTAATCCATAGAAATTTCTTTGTTTTTTAAGTTCTCTCATCAATCTGCTTTTTTTTATCGAGCAGATCATAGAATTCATTCCATCATCATTTTGAAGCCAAGTTACTCTCGTTGAGATAAAACCATTAGAATAAAGTCGGCGTTTACGTCTACATTTTTGCATCATTATAGAAACACATTTTGCAAATATTTTGAAAATGTTTGGTATTGGAACGAAAACCTTTGATTCATCAATGCCGTCAGTCTATTTATTAATATTTATTATGATCGCCAACAAATTTATTTTTGTGCATTGCTTTGTCAACACAGACAATGACGAATATCAGGTACAATATGTGGATTGTTCAGTTTTTTTAGGAAATCAGAATTCCGAAAAATGAAGTTGGTTGTTCTAATTTCAATCTGCTGAGATAAATAAATTGTAGTTCACGGCGTTTATTTTCTATTATTATCCGGATTAACATAAAAATATTGCTGTACCACTCCAAAAGATAATCATTTCCGGCTTTGTTTCCGAAAATTAGTAAAGAAAAACACAGACATTGACCTTGTGTCTCGTGTTCAAAATTGATAAGACCTCTTGAATTACCAGAGAAATCTTTCTATATATATTTACAAGATACCACCATTGTTTCCTGATCAATGTTAATTGGATTGAATGCGAAGAAAACAAAAGAGAAAAAAATAGATCTACGATTGTTGTACACTATTTTCCTTTCTTAACGCAACGAATCTATAAATATGTCTATTGTTTGTTTTGAATAATTCAGAATCAACTTGAAAAATTACAACAAGACGCTATTAAACAATTAGTATTAAAATATGTAACAAATCCAGGTAAACATTTAAATATTATAGAGGATCTTTTTATTTAAATTTCAATAAAGATCGATCTTTTTCTCTCTCAGAAAAGTCTCGATCGGACGACGACTATTTACAATCACCATCGACACCAACAATACGTCGTATGATTTCTTCTGTTATTTTTCTAATTTAAATCGATCATGATCTGTATTTTTTGTTTGTTAGGTCGTTTCTGCTGCATGAATCCACTCGGTAGTCGAAAGCGATCGGTACGAAATCTCCTACGAAAACAACAACTATCGAATGCCATGATTGGATAATACTCTTAGTTGTCAACATAATACTTCAAATATGCGTGTGGTTACCAACAAATCGAGAACAATAAAAAAAAAAAGAAAAGAAATGAATACTACTGACTGATTTGTATTTATTTTGTCAAGAACATTTTATTATTAAACAAGAAAATATATTTAAAAACATAGCAATGGCACTGAAACATTTAAAAGATCACTGTAGATAAGAATGTAACTCCAGTCTTAGTTTTTAACAGCGTAATACCATAATTTAACTATATAAAAATATAATAGCTTAGCGAAATAGTGCAAAATATATTTCTTGTCACCGGAATATATAATTGATAAAAACAAAATATGCAGACTACTTTGAATAGAGCACTAGGAGAGCGAGAAGAGAAGTGATGTATCACAGATGCATAATGGCTCAAAAGTAAAATAACAATGAAAACCGATCGACAATTTGTATCATTATTAATACAATTTGAATCAAGAAAAAATATCCAAAGTTATAATCGAAGGCTTGCTATTGAATGCCTAGAAATAAATATAGTAGTACAGATTTAATTATATAATTAATGCATTGATAAAAACAATTGATCAGTCGATTCTCGTGCTATTTTTATCATATACTCTAGAGTAAAAACTAATGCAGTTCAAAGATAATTGCTAAGGACTCTTGAAAGTTTTCTGGAATTCGTCAGCAGATCAATAGAACAAACGTATAGTGTTTTGCCAATTAGTAACGATAAAAGCAAACAACATTATGAAATCTACATACCTCGCTATTACAGACTAAAGTTTGGTTAATTCTATAAAAAGCATTAATATGAAATCAATTATACGTATGAGATAGAAAATTTCTATGAGTCAACTCACCGATTATATTCTTTCGTTTTTTGGAAAATAATTTATAGAAAAAGTTTCTTTTTAAACAACTATCTTCATGATCATGGATGACTTGTTCGGATGCTTGATTTTCTTCTTGTAATTTAGCAAAATTAACAAATACATCATCAAGTGTGACTTGTGTAACTGTATAATCTTCAATTATATTTATCAAATCTTCACGTGCTTTCTCTAGAACACTGAACATTTTGTGTAATGGAACATGTGCTGACACACGAAAATGTATCATTTTATTATGTTCTTCTTTGACATCAGCTTCTGGTATTCGTTCTTTTATATAATTAATAACTTGTTTCATATCACTATTGATTTCCGTTCGAACAAGAATAGTATAACCATCGCCGAATCTTTAAATAAAATAGATAGTATTCGTTTTCAGGCAAAAACAATGATTCAATCTTATTACTTGACTTTCAAATGTTGTACACTACCAAAACATTTAAATTCTCCACCAACCATAATAACAAGACCTCAAACAAAAACTAGTCTATACAAAAAACAAATAAATAAAGATCAACTATTCATACGATTGCATAATGTTTCACATTCTTCCATTGAATGAGATGTTATTACAACTGATTTATTATCTTTACGAGTTAATGTCAATATGCAATTCCATAAAAATCTTTTCGCACGTACATCCATTCCAGTTGTTGGTTCCTAATAATGACCGTGAATGTCCTTTTTTTTTTAAAACATGATATAAACTTACATCCATAAATATAATCGATGGATTGCCAATCAGCGAAATAGCAGTAGATAATTTACGCTTATTACCGCCAGAGTATTGTTGTACTGGTCGATCAGCCCACAATGTAAGACCAAGTCGTTTTAATAAACAATTCGTAATCTATACACACAAGGTCTTTTTTTTTAAATACTTTTTCTCCTTGGTGTAAGTTAATTAATATTAATAAATTAAACCTATCTCTAACAGATCATTTTACTTCTACTATTTGTAGTAGAGTCGCGTTGAAACTAGAACAAGATTTTCGCCTACGCGTCTTCAGAGTCAAGTTAACACTATTTTACTTGAAAATCGAAGAATAAAATTTTGATCTAAAAAAACTCATCCTGTAGTTGTTTTTAGAATAGTTCAAGAAATCATTTGCCTAGTAAGCGCTTAAGTGGTGAGTGAGAGTTCGATCGGTTCAATGGTAAGAAGTCTAGTAAAAACTAACTTACAAATGGAATATTCTTTCTATTGATTCCGCGTAGACGAGCATAAAGAAAAAGATGTTCGCGTGCTGTCAATAGAGAATCCAGTGCATCAAATTGTGGGCAATAACTAGAACAACGACACTATGAAATAAGAACGTTGGCTCTTCTTGAATGTATTTTTACCCTAAATTTCGATGAACAGCACTCAATTGTTTAATAACACTATAATTATTAACAAGCGCATTTCCATCGGTCATTGAAATTTCTCCAGTTAACATTTTAAATGTTGTCGACTTTCCTGAACCATTGATACCTAATAAACCAAAACATTCACCTTGTTTAATACCAGCACACGTTCGTTTGACTGCAGTAAATTTTTTTCCGAATCTCCAACCATAAACCTAAAAGCAAAATTAAAAGAAAAAAATTTTCTTTTCTTTTTCAAATTGTTTCTTCTTTTTTATTCGTACTTTAACTAAATCAATCATTCGTAGAACATCTCCACTTGTATTACTAGGATCAGAATAAATTCTTTCTCGTTCAGCAGCTACATCTTCATCTTCGTTTGATGATACTAAATCGTTTGGTGTACGAACACAACCACTAAATATTAAAATTAAAATAAAATACGGTTCTATTGAAATCTCTAAATTTATGAATACTCACCGGTCAGGAATAAAAAATCGATATTGAACAAGTATTGCGAATATGAAGAAAACTATTCCTTCAATGAATAAAGCAAGAAGATTTCTACCAACAATATTAAATTGAAATGGTGATAGACGCTGATAGTCAGCAACTGCAAAGTAAACAAATTAATCTTGATATTAAATTCTAGCAAGAGACAACAAAAACAAACTAACTATATTTAACACTGACTACATTGATGGCATTTGTTTTACTCAAATCAAATAGGCCTCTTCCAAGGTTATAATGCGGAAATATTAAAAATACTTTTGTTAAAATATTATTAATCTTTTGTAGATCAGGTTCATCTTGAAAACTTTCTAGTGTTACTGTTGATATTGTTGTCATTAGACCAACAAATATATTAATTGATGATATAACAACAAAACCAGTCGATGGAGTACTAAATAGATAACTAATTGGATACATTAAAGGTATTGTAGCAAAACCATATAAAAATAATAGTAAGAAAAGACAAAGTAAATTTGTCTGATGTACATATGCTTCAATGCCGAAACCAAGAAATATGATAATACAAAATCCAATTGATACACAATAATTTGCTAAATCCCAAACGAAATTTGCCGCCCAATAGGTTATACCTAAAAACAAAAGCAATAAGCATATGCAGTTTTCTTCATAATTATTTTCGTAAATAACTAGCTACCTTTAACACCACTAACAAATTGTAGATGTTTTGATGTTGTTACATTTTCATCAATAAGAAAAACAAGAAAACTTGCAGGAATAAATGCTAATGCAAATATTACACATATGGCTGTAAACAATTCAAGAGCCATATTAGTTTGCATTTCACTATCAATTTGAATTGCTGCTTCTGGTAATGGATGACTTATAGCTGTTATACCATATTCATCTATGGGCGTTGATGAGCTGTTCTGAAGAAGTAAACCGCGTAAAAATGCATTATTGAATACATTTAAAAATGCGACACTCGATGGCCATCCTTTGTTATTGTACCAAACCTGAAATAGAAATTTTCTATCGATTCATTAAGATCAAGTAGTTTTAGGTGTTGAAAATTATATCTAACGCCATCTCTGATTGAAGTTGTCAGACACAACTTTCAAGTTCATTATTCTTATTCAATTCTCGATGAACATTCAATATGAATAAAAATTTGTCAAAATAATTTACCGAAACTTGTGGTGGATGTATGCGAAAGAAAGCAGCAACTTTTGCTGCATCAACGTTTGTTATCAATTGATTTGTGCTATTAATTGTATTAGTAGCATTGATTATTCTATCAATCAAAGTTTGATTTAAAAGATCGATACTGTTGAAATTATCTTGTGCTAAGAAATCAAAACCGCCAAAACGTTTCATTAAATATTCTTCATTAAATTCTGTTTTGACTACCCTAAAAAAAATTAAACATAATTCATTTATATGTAATAGAGCAACTTCTATAATATGTGACAAACCAATCGCTTATATTATAATCATAAAGACGAAATAAAGTATTTTTTGTTTCTGTCATATCATAACTTGGTGTTGGACCGCCAGCACCAATTGGGCAGGTTTGTATTTTCTGGTCACAATCGCAACTTGGTGATATACGTGTATATGTATAATTGACAGCATTTAACGCATTCATTATTTCTTGACTTATTGATACATTATTATACTTAGCATCGCCCAAATCACAGGGATATTTTTTTCCGTCGAGCATGGATGATTTCATACAGCGTGTGCCTAATGATGGCGATTGAGTAAATGTTTGTTGAATAGATTTCGATAATAATGTTATGTTATTAGTCGGTATGCCTTGAAACATATAACTTGGCTTACCCCAATACCACGGATGAAGAATAAGAGGTGGTGATTCACTTTTATCTGGTGCTAGTTTGGTTACTAGCATTGCAAGTAACACGAATACAATTGGAAGAAGAATCTCAGCAATCAATGCTTTGATATTACGTTTTGTTCGATGAAAGCGTTTTATAAGTAGTCCGCTTACTTGTACTGCTATATAACTAATACCAGTGTAGCGTTCATCGGCATAGGTACTCCATTCTTCTAAAAGAAAATTGTCAAATATATAATTACGTAAAAGTTTATTGTTATGCATACCACTTAAGCGTGTATGAAATAGTGCTTGATCATCATCATCATTTTCTTGTTCGTTGATTGTCTCGTTTGTTTTTAGTTCTATTGGTTTATTTTTTCCAAGCCATCCTTGAATACGAATTGCCATTCGTTTCCAACATGATGAGATTTCATAATCTTCTGTACATTTCTTTTCATTAGCAACACGAAGAAAGACTTGTTCAAGACTACTATTCGATAAGCCATAACTTTTAATATGATAATTAGTTTTATTTTCATCAAGATCAGAGAGAATTTTCGGAAAGATTTTCGTATGTTCAGCATCATCTAATATAACATATACTATTTGATCACCATGTTGCTCTTTTATACGTAAATCAGGCATCGATGATTTTAAAAATGCTGTTAATCGTTCAAACCGAGTTGAAGAATTCGTATTAGGATTAATTATATTCAATTCTATACTATTTGGATAGATTGTATTATTTGTTGAATTCTAAAATAGTCAAGTAAAGCCAATTAGTAGAGAATTTTGAATCACTATCAGAGTTTTTTCTTCTTCCCATTGATCTGCTAGTATACTCTGAACTTGTTCTGTTTATTAGATTCTCTTAAAAAATTAGAAAAAATGAATAATTACTGTATGTTGTTGTTGTTGTTGTTTTTGTATTTCAAGTTCATCGGATACTGATGTTAATTCAACAATTAAATTATAACCTTCACCATATTTATGTTTTAAATGCATTGTTGTGCCTACACATTGTAATTCACCGGATGATATTATTGCTAAACGATCACATAATAAATCAGCTTCGTCAAGATGATGAGTTGATAATACGATTGTTCGACCTGGTTTATATTTAAGAATGAGATCCCATATGGCTCGTCGAGCAAATGGATCAACACCTAAATACGAGACATATTTTCTACTTAGTTTTGTTTATCGTAATAAACGTAGGGGACATTTTAATATTTGCTGAAATGCACGAAATTATTATTGTGCTTAATTTTCTTTTTAATTGAATTCTTTTTTCTTCAATGGACTTTGAACCGACTGAAATGTCTTCGAGACCTAGAGAGCGTTCTCTAAAAAATGTTTTTTGTTGCCAAATACTCTCGAGCAGTTAGTAAATTCTAGAAATTTCAAAGTAGTTCAATCGAAGTCAATATGTATACATACCTGCTGTTGGTTCATCTAGAATGACGGTTGTAGAATTGCCAATAAATGCGATAGCAATCGAAAGTTTTCTTTTCATTCCTCCAGATAATTCAGTTGAGTAATTTTCTGATTTATTTTCTATTCCTAAATCTGCCAGCATTTTCTTGGTTTCATCTGAAATGAATTCTTCAGGTGCACCTTTCAAACTAAATTTAAAAATAATCACACACATTTTCCTAGATTTCAATCAATAAAATAATAGTTACTTACGCAGAAAAAAATTCTAAATGCTCTTTAACAGTTAACCGATCAAATAAAATATTATGTTGTGGAGCAAATCCTAATCGTTTTCGTATAACTTTTATATCCGTTAATATATCAAAACCATCAACATAGACTGTACCACTCGATGGTGGAATTAAGCCAGTTAATATAGACCATGTTGTACTTTTACCAGCTCCGTTTCGTCCAAGAAATGCTGTTATCATATTTCGATAGAATTTTACAGATAGATTTTTTAATGCAACTTTATTTTTATAAAATTTTGATAGATTTTGAATATGAACACCAATTTCAGACTGAGGAATAGTATTATCGCCATCATCATCGTCAGCGCTGCCAACTACGAAAACAAATATAATTTCTTGATTAAAAATCTTTCTTATTTTGTTTTACTGTTCGTATTTGTTTTGACCTGGTTCTGATTGATTTCATTCGTACGTTGAAGATTCTTTTTTGCATCATAACCAAACCAATATGTTTTTGTAAACGGATAATACCAAGGTTGAGGAATTCCGTATTCACCTTAAAGATTTAATAGAAAAAGAAAATATTTTTTCAATTAAACTATTGTCATTTCATACCGGGAAATACATTTTCAATATATACAGCTAATGCCATATAGATAACGGCATCGATAAGCATCATAATCATACAATTCAGAAATGTAAAATTATCATTCGGTTTTGCCCCTTTATGTATATTACTCCATTGAATGCCTTGTGCCATGCCTTCAAAACGAGCAATATAATCACAGCCAAGTCCAAATGAAACAGTTGACGATAAACACTAGAAGCAAAACAATGATACCTTATTCTAGGTTTTTACAGCTTGAAATTCTTACAGCAAGCACTTTATGCCATCCTAATGTTTGACTATCATAATTAATTAAAAGTGTATACGGTAAATAAAGAACAAAATAAATTATGCCAGCCCCTAAAACAACCCAAATCATCTTTTGTGTTAGAATATTAATAAAAAAAAACCAACAACATACCGCAAGCAGCTAAGTTAGCTCGATTGAAAAAGACACTTATGAGAAAACATTGATTGATTGTTGCAAATGTATAACAAACGAAGAACAGCAACAATACTATAAAACTGGAAAATTGAGTTATTTTTCCTAACTAAAACAAAGTAGAAAAAAATAATAGTTTGATTGACCTGAATTTTCCGGATAGCTTTCCTATTATATTATTCGCACAACGGAAAACAAAAGGCAATTGATCTATTTACCTTCAAAATAATGACAAGTAATAGTGCTATTGTTACCATGACAGCTGTACATAAAACAAACCATGTGAACCAATGAACAGAATCGTTCAAACCCATAATTCTCATGATTTCTTTTAATCGCCTAAATAAATATCAAGATAATAATCAATAGAAGGTGATCAAAACATTATTCGATATTTCACTGTTCTCTTCTTACCGTTCCTTTTCATAAACAATATCCTTGACATTCATTGATACAGTAAAAATCCAACTTAATACCATGAATAACGGTAACATTTGTCTAATGGAATTGACAAATCTAAAAATTTAATTAAAACTCATTGATGAGCTATTTTTTTCTGTACGATTCATTAAAATCTTCTAATATTACTTGTCATTAATCCAACATGGATAGGGCATTTGTTGAGTTTGTACTCCATATGATATATTCATTCCTGTTTGTTTACTTATAATTGCACGATCGAGAGCGTTTTGTAAATAAATAAAAGTAAATGAATGATATTTAGTGGAAGACGGGGCCGAATAACGAGGCGCAAAGGTAAAATATCTATTTAATATAAATCAAAATAATAAATCAAGATTTCATTTTTTATCCTCTTTAATTTACCGATCTTCCGTACTAAATGTATTATCAACATAATCACGTACCATTCGTATTTTATATCTAACATGTTTTGGAAAACTATCACCGTTTGATAATTCATCAAGAAATACAATTCCAGCAAGAAATGTATCTGTGAACGAATTTGTTTTTCCATCACTCACCAACTGTGATTCACTGCTCATCAGAACGAAACGATTTCTATCTGTACAGGCCATAAACTCAGTTATGATTGTAAATAAAGATAATGGTGTTTCATAGGAATTTAACAGTTGACATAAAGGTAACGCATTCGACGATAAATTACATAGCGTTGCCAGTGCTGCATAGGCTGTTTGCATAGGCGATCGCATTTGTCGAAGTAATTTTATTACTTCATCTAATGATTCAAATGTTTGATTAATTTGTTTGATTATATTATCATAATAAATATTTGATGGATAATAATAAATTTTTCCGTATTGCAGTGGACGTAGAAGACGACCGAATAGCTGTAGATTTTTATTTGAATTAAATAGTTGATCAAATGTAACACAACGACATGTACGATTGACGGTAATCGTTTTTTTGATATTACCGGTACCAACTACATATGATTGATTACACATATCATTTTCAGTATAATTAAGTAACTCTGATGCCAAATCATTCCAATCAATACTCGCGATTGTTCCATTATATAATGAACTTCGTTGTGTTGCTGTACTGTTCAATAAATCACCTGTTTGTTTGCTAGTTGTAGATACGTTTACACTCACAAATTGTGAAATATCATTGCGTCCACCACATAATGTTGTCAAACTGAAATGAAATTTGATCGAAAAGCTATTTCTATAAAAAGTTAAAATGTTACCTAAAACTGCTATTAAATCCCGCAAGTGATAAGCTAGCATTGAGAGTTTGCAATTGAGAAAAAATGCTTTGGGCAGCTTCGATGCTCTTAATAAATAAATATTTCAATGTGTCTAAGCTTAATTGAAATAGTTACCTGTTGACTAAGAATATTAGTATTCATCAAATTTAACTGTACATCATTCTAAATAAGTACAATTTAACACAAAAAAATATTTATTTAAAACATTTATCATACCAAAAATACTTGATCGAGTTGTATTTGTAGACTAATTAAAAAGCTTTTCAGATCGGTTGTTGATAAATTGTTGCATAGAAAATCTTTTGCATCCATGGATTGTCCTTGATTAATTAAAAATGTTTGATTGAATTGTCCGTCAATGCAAAATGATTTTTGAATATTTATTGCTGATTGATATGACTAGATAAAATATTGAATTTTTTTATAAAGTAAAACAATATTTACTTTCCTATACTTACATAGGTGTAATTTGGTTGTAGAGAAGCCAGAAAAATTTCAGAAGCAACATTTAAATTCGTTAATGAATTTGTTCTATTCATCAACCATGGTTGATGAAGATTTGATAGATTAATAGGATTTGAAAACAGTATATTGGTCGTTGCTATTGGTATTGATTGATTAAAATCGCTCGTTGTCTTATTCACCCGAATAACTTTTAAAAAAGAAAAAAATTATTAATGAGATTGTTTTTCCTTTTTTCTTATCGACTAATCGTACCAGTCCAACTATTATTTAGCAAACTAGTAATATTGTTCAATTCGAATACAAGTTGGCTTATATTACTCATGACTTGTTGATTATTTGATATCTTTAGAAGGTTATCAGCTATACTTGCATACCGGTTGAATAAGTTTCTGAGAAGAGAAAAACAAATTAGAAAAAAGAAACGATATAAAAAATACGAACGGGATATCATTGGATAAAATGTTGAATTGATCAGTGGGATTAGGAAAACTATGACATGTATTATTCCATCGGCAAACATATGTTTGAAAGGCCGGTATAATGCCAGCTGATCCCAAATATTTCGCATCATTATGACCTAGAAAGTGATTGCTTTCAAAACTATAGTTGTCAATAAAAATCTACTTACAGGCATCATAATAAAAAATTAAATTTCGTGTTCGCACCCACATAAGAATAAGGAATAAAAATAGTGGCCATATTAATTCGAAGATTACACGTGGCTAAATTAGAGCAAACAGTAGTCTTTTTTTTTCAATCTCAATTATCTAACAAACCCATCGCCTTCGGCGTATGGTGAAATTTTTCCATAACACTAGACGTATTTGTCGGCATACACTCATTATATCTACCAATATTCAATGACACGCATAGTTAGCAAAAAAGCAAATCTAAAATAAATAATTTTGATTACTATCATAGAAACCCACCAACAGTATTTTTGTTAGACGCTTACTATAACAAAAACGAGAAATTATTATTTCAAAAAGAGTACAGACAGCCGTAAACTTTCAATGTAGGACATTCTACACTTTTCTATCGACTATAGTGTAATCACCTCTCGGCTACTGATCTTAAAGTCTATTTTTGAAGCATACCTTTTCTTGCAATAACATGTAAGACAAAAATATGATGCATTTTATCGTTTCTTTTTCGCACGTAAGAAAAAGAAAAAAAAAAGAGTCGATAACATATTTATTGGTCGATTTTTTCATGTAAAAGTAAGTTGCTATGAGAATAGTTCAAATAATTATAGTTGAATAGACAGAACCTCTGAGGGGTGTATGACACTTTTTTATTTTTGACTACTAAATACGACAATATTTTTAACACAACTAGGATGTCATACCGTTTAGAAGCTTGCGAATAGCAAGTATCCAACCGATAAAACAAACTTCCTAATTTACTAAAATCACAAGGAGCAGATCACTGTCGATGAAGTCGCTTGTTTTTTGCAAGAACATTTTCGAAAACGAACTCTATATAGATACTCACGATCAGCAATAGACTTTGAGTAGAATGAATCCTTTTCAATAAGCAGTACTAGTTTTCTATGCATCGATGTTGTAACTTTGTGAATGATTCAACTCATAGACAAAAAGAACCTCAAAGTAACGTAATCTGCTATTATTCAGCGAAGAAATTTCTAACCAATGAGTCAAATACACACACTGTTGACATTTCTCATATCATTTTCTGAATATGAAGTCAGTAAGAAAAATTCAACTGAGATAACTACTAATAAAATTAGACGAATATAAGAATCCATCGACAGTCCGCTAGAAAATAAATAAGAGTTGTTGTTTGTAAGAAACAAGCGAGCCTTATTTCTGTATTGGAATTTAATGCTGACGAAGAATATGCTATCGTTTTTTTTCTTGAGAGAGAAATTATTCTTTACGAGATAATCGCTCTTTCAATACGTGTCCTGTCATGTGAATATGCTACATAATCGAAGGTAAAATATAATGTCAATACGAAGTCTACTGCCAATATCAATTGATAAAAATCTTTCATTACTCTCCTAATGAAAAATATTGTTGAATAATAGTCATACGACAAACAATCGCCCATTTTACTAGAAAAAATCTGCAGTATCATCAAACGCAGCGAATAGGAACAGAACCGATTGAGTAAGTAAATGTCACACGAGAAAAGTCTCAACCAATAGAATCAAGATAGATGACAGTAGGTGTTAATGAAAGAGAACCTTGACAGAATTAATTGATAATAATTGATCTTTTTAAGAATATTTTCATATGTTTTTCGATGAAAATATATTTGATTGTCGATGCCTTGGCAACGATAACATTGTTTACTGAAGCTATCATAAGTTAAGGAATTATATGTGTGCTTATCGGCCAGTAAGCAAGATAGTATAAAATGTTCTTGAAATATGTCTTTCGATTTTTATTTGCATAAATCTTTATACTTTTCAGATACAGCTCATTATCAAAGATGGGTAAAGAAGAAAAGGAATTTGGTGGTACAACAGGAGCTATTGGTTTAATCTTATTTTCTCATTTTGTACCATTTTATTTTACTTTATCACTTCGATATAGTTCAGGTGGTCTCTATTGTCCATCATCATTCGATGAACTGATTCAAAATTTTAAAGAAACATGTTCACCAACATGGTCAGCATTCTTTATTTATACTGGATTTTGTCTTTTACAACTTATTTTTGCTGCTATTCTACCTGGATTAAGAATCAAAGGTTTACCTGTACCGACAGAAAATAATCGACAATATGAGTATAATTGTAATGCATTAGCTAGTTGGTATGTTACATTAATACTTCTTGCTGTACTTCATTTCACTGGTATATTTCGATTAACGATACTAGCCGATCAATTTGGTTCAGTACTGTGTGTTGCTGTCATATGTAGTGATATTCTATCATTCATTATACATTTCTATGCTATACAAAGCAAAAAAACATGTCGAATGACACATTCACCTATTTATGATTTTTTTATGGGAGTTTGGTTAAATCCACGTATTCGAATTTTAGGACAAGATGTTGATCTGAAAATGTTAGCTGAAGTACGTTTATCATGGCTTTTATTATTTCTTTTGATTGTTTCTGCCGCATTAAAACAATATGAAGCATTTCATACTGTTACATGGCCAATGATATTTATTTTAACAGCTCAATTACTCTATATAAATGCTTGTATGAAAGGTGAAGAATGTATACCAACTACTTGGGATATATTTTATGAGAAATGGGGTTGGATGTTAATCTATTGGAATTTAGCTGGTGTACCATTTGTTTATGCATTTCAAGCTAATTATATTCTTGTTAATTCCTTGCGAACACAAAACCCAACAGAAGGTATATCGATGACATTAATTATGGTATTATTTGTTATACTTGTTCTTGCTTATTACATATGGGATTCATCTCAAGCACAAAAAAATCGTTTCCGTATGCAACAACGTGGAACATATGTACCACGCAGTGCATTTCCACAAGTTCCATGGAATACATTAAAAAATCCGAAATATTTAAAAACAGAATGTGGTTCAACATTATTAATCGATGGTTGGTGGAAATACTGCCGTAAACCACATTATACAGCTGATATTTGTATGGCAACATGTTGGGCATTGTCATGTCATCAATGGCCAGGTGTTTTACCTTACTTTTATCCAGCATTCTTCTTTGGTATGATTGTTCATCGTTATACACGTGATGTAGCTCGATGTAAAGCAAAATATAGTAAAGATTGGAAAACTTATTGTGATCGAGTACCATATGCATTTATTCCTGGTATTATTTAAGTTTTTTCTCTGTGACATTCCTCTTCATTCTTCTTTTTTTAGTATTGATTTGACCTTTTCTTTTTTTACTGTAGACGAGTTTTTTTTTCTTTTTTAATTTTTAATACAAATAAATACATATCTTTTATAATTATCACTAACACAAAATAAATAAATAAATTTATATTATGAAAAAAATATCAGCGAAATTATTTGAGGTACAAACAATTCAAATTTATGCACACATTTATTTCGGCGATATTTTAGCATGGTTGGATAGAGCTCGTTTAGTTACCCCTAAATGTGTACTTTTTAATTTTTCCAGGTTGAATTTTCAATAAAAAAAAATTGAAAAACTTTTATATCAAAATAAGGTGTTTTTGGGTGTGGGTGGGTGTGGGTGTGGGTGGGTAGTGTGGGTGTGGGTGTTCTATCTTAATCCAAACCACACCCACACTATATCAAGTAATAATTAAGTCATGGTGAATAATAATTAAAATTATCAATCAATTGTAATTCCCATTTTGTTGCACCAAAATTCGATTAAAATCAGCAAATATTTTTCATCGGGGGTTTGAAACTATCAACTCTTTCGATAAATTTGATATCATGACTTGAACCGTTTATTGTGAATCAACTTTTTCTTTCATTCTCTAGTCACGCAAGTATATTACATTACTATTTTTGCATTTCCGTTTTTCTCTTCATTCGAATCAAGAAGAGAGACAGCTACGTACAGAGCTACATATTATTGCAGCAACCAAGCAAAAGTAGTGCTGTTTTTTTAACGAATAATGTTTGTGCCAGTATGATTGTTTTCATGTCCCTTTTTAGAGAGACCCAGCGAATACACAAGAAGTAAAAAATGCAAGAAAAGCGTCTGGAACCAATAGAATATCGACGTTGCGATTAACATTGAAGTAGGTATTTTTTGCTGCGCAATATTTGCGAAAGGAAGGGGGTTTATGGTGTATGAATACATATATATATATATATATATATGCATGCTGATGCGAGTCATAATTTCTGATTAAAACCAGGAAAGCGACGAGCAAAGATGGTCGCCGTCGGCAACACTAGTCTTCTTTTCGCGGTACTGACCTTTGGTTGGATCTTGTTGGCAACAGGGGTACCAAATAAGGTATGGTGCCCCAGCAATGTTTCGACCATTCGATCAAGGGAGTACACAGACACCCAAATTAGGATAGTCATGAGTATGATAAAGAAGCGAACTAACTTGACTTTACCAGGAAGAAGGTATCCGCACAAATTCAAAAACACTGATAAAATCCCAATGGACCACACCTGCATCAATGTGAATGATCTATATGAGCATCCAATTATTGAAAATGGCATATATCCAGCTAACATCACAATAAATCAAGCGACCCAAATGGGCAAATCTCCCGGTCAAGATCGTGTGATTGCGGACTCCAACGGCAATTACTGTAAGGTGATAACACATGAGCAACCTAAAGGAGGTGTTGTAATGGGAAGCCCCACTTTCTACGCCTGTCGACCGTGAGGCCTACATATAAAATGATGGCACACGAACGTTTTTATTCACCAACTACTTTTTCTTTGTAACTCTTGCTTTTTCACGCCAAGAATTTCGAAAAATCAACAATTGTTTAACTATCTTTCGCCATACTCCATACACAATCCACTATCCCAGGTCGAAGAATACAGCAGGGAAACGGCCGTTTTCGGTACTTTTCAGAGATGTCATGGAAGGGTTGGTGTGGGTGTGGGTGGTTCTGGGGAGGCTGTGGGGGTATGAGGTGTGATGATTGTGGGTCTGGGTTTGAGTCTCCTTTCTCTAGATATCCACATCTATGGAGTGCCTAACCCTAATTCGATCACGGTTTTTCTCCGTTCTTAAAGAAGTGCTTGTAACTTCTCTTCCCAAGATCCTTTCGAAATAATGTTTTTTCCGGGATAGAGATAAGATTTCTCTATTATTCTATCGATTTTGTTTTTCAAAAATCATTAATTTTTAATGAGCAGTAACCGTTGGAAAGGGACCTACTAAACTTTTTTGTCCGTTCTCCTTCGTTCTTAATTTGATCGTTCCAGTCATTTCGATAGGAAGCTTCGAAACAAAAGTTGTTTCAACATAAAAAAGTATCTTTAATCGTGATAAAAAAATTACACCATTGGATTCCTCAGCTCAAAATCTATAGTTTCATGTATTTTTTATTGTGATTTGATGCAATCTTCATTGAGTTTTTCTTATTACGAAAAGATGAAGTTTGTGATCAAATTAGGAACTGATCTTTATTTCATCACACAAGCTATTTCAAGTTCCTAATTTGATCACCTAATGTAAAATGCATGGAGTTTTGATGAGCAAGCGAAAAAATTATGTTCGCGCTACCCCAAGTACGAAATTATTAGTTGGTGTTGCTAGAAAAGTTGTAGTACACATAAAATACTATCTATATACAGAACATGAGGACTATAACGTCTTTTGGGATAGAGATTTCAGCATTGATAAATACTAGAAATATTTGTTCATATTTTCTTTGCTATTTCAATCTTTTTGAAGTAAAAAATGAAAAACAATCTTATTGTAAATGAACAATGCTCAATAGTTCTTAATTTTAAGCGAAAAGAAAATCTAAATTCGCTGTACAATAGTTTTAACAACGTTAACTCTGACAAAAATTCTTCATTTGAACTATCACTTGTTCCTTCGAATTGACTGAAATCGATCGCGTTTTGCAAAAGTTGAATTCCGTATTGAACGCCAGCATCTTTACATATTTCATTCTCTTTGTTTTTTGTATCAGTAGTAAATATCTTTTTCGAGGGCCTTTTAGTTTTAGTTTTATTTGTTGAAATCTTCATCGATTGGCCACCTTTTGATAAATGAGCTTTTTTCGTCTGTTGCTTTTTTCTTCTCTTTCTTTTAATTTAAGTAGAACAAACTCGTCGTCCGTAATATTTAAACCAACAGTACTTCGTAGTCTTGTACCACGATGAACTTTTGATCTTGCACTTGCAATTTTTTTTCTGGATATTGTGATAAAAATTCGGTCACTAATTGCCGAACAGCAGCAATAGGATTCGGTGAAGAGTCAGTTTTAGTACCTGATATTATTAATAACTTTAAGTGAAGTTACAAGCGAGGCTAAGAATCTATTTTACCTGTTGCTATTAGATTTTCTTCATTATTTTCTGTTGTTTCATTTCCATTAACTGATGATACTGTTACTGTCGAAACCCGTAATAATTCACCAACATCATCAAATGAACATGTTTGAAGATCGGTATAGGAAGAATTATTGTTAAGTGGTAAACAACCATCATGATCATCAACGACGATAGGTTGTAAGCATAACGATGTTGATGTTGTTGTGATGAAAGAATCATTTGATGGATTACTGATTGTTGAGACTAAAAATGGTCGTAAATTAATAGTTTTTAGTGAGAAAGAAAAAACCCTGAAAGCGTGGACGAATTTGGTAATGATGAAATATGTACAGCAGAAAAGTTCATCGGTGGAATGAGAACATTTGTTGGAGCTGGAACCGAATCGATAAAATCACTTGAGCAATAATTAATGTTCTTCTTAGATACTTTATCACGCATAGCGTGTTTATCAAATGGCCAGATTCCTATGCAAATGTGGTCAATCAATAGGTGGTAATTAAAAAAAACTTTTGTCTTGCCAGCTCTATAAAAAGACGAAACGATTCATGGCGGTGAAAAAGCCGCTTTATCGACAAACAACTTTTTCATGAGACGAGGAAAATCACAATTCTTTATTTGTTTATTGCCTTCTTTTAAATAGTTTTTTACGATCTTATTAGATAATCCTGATATTGAACCGAAATCAAAAAAATTTAATTTATAGAATTTTTTATTTAGTTTCTACAAAAGGTAATTGAAAACGTTAAACAGATAAATACAAACATCATAATTTATTAGACACGAATGATTGATTATGATTATCATATGTCGAATTATCTCATTATTAATATTTAATTAATGCGGTGCGAAGCACAGCATTTATGTAGTCCGTCACGAGTTTGTTTTTAATGCGATGCGAAGCAGAAGCATTTATGTAGTCCGTCGCGAGTTTTTTTTTTTTCTTTCTTTTTTACTTGAGATCGTACGCATCATTTTCGTCGTTTTCTGACACGATGATCTCGAGAACCAAAAATCGTAGAAACCTCATTTAAACGCAAGATAGTAGTATCGAGATCGAACTGCTTACACCTGTTTTCGAATCTTTAATCTGACGTTCCGTTCGCTCACAAATGTGGTTCCGAAATGACGAAAATGAAAGAAATTTGTTGCAAGATAATTAAAGTGACGTCATGAACATATGTTAGCCACTATAGTCTATTCATTTACAGCTGATCTAAGATAATGAATCATGATGATAATTAATCGATCAATCGAAATCGATCCTTAAGAATGTATCGCTAAGTAAGAATAGAGTTTTCTGAGTGATGAATTTCATCATGTCGACATAAAAAGTATTCAAGATTTCTCTGAATTGCAGATTTTTCCTGGATGGAGATTCCTGCTTCGCATCGCATTTCGTATTCGAGTGAAACTTGAATACCATCTAGTTTATATTGAATTACATCATTCAGGTTGATAAGATATTTCTTGTTTACATACTATTTTATTCGATCAAAGGCACCGATTTTACAAATATTTTAGTAAGAAAAGTTTACTAAATGTATGTCATAGTATAATTTTTTTAATTTTAGGTACATTTCCAAGATCTTAAAACAGTTAGCTTCAGTTAGAAAAGATCAGAAACAAATGGTATTGTTATAAATTTTTTCCGTTCGTTTCACTTAATAGGAATTTTAGACTGATGACTAAACAATTAATACATATGAGAGTTTTCATGGTTTCTTTAATTGTAAAGAAAGAAATCGTAAAATATTTTGACATATTTTCCTAATTTATAAGTTAACATATCAACATAACAAGTATGTAATACGACAAACAGTCAAGTATATACATTACAAAAAAATACTACGCTATTAAAGTTTTATTGTCATTGAAGAATTGACGAAAATAATATTCATGCATATATTGTTTATCAGATTCATTGCAAACATGATAGAAAATCGAGATTGGCCTGTTATTTAGCCTTAACAATGGATATAATTCCATATAACGTACAAACATAAATATAATCACTTTGATTGTGCTTGTAAATTTAATATAGGTCGTACGATTACACTCGTAAATATGTTCACCAGAACGATACACATAGTTAACAAACTAAAAAATAAATATTGTTACTGGAGCGCAAAAACCTTCGATTATCCAACGTTTCACTCTTATTCGTGTAATTCGACCGACATTTAACGTGTATGCAGAAAATAAAGCAGCAATAAAATAAATAAATCCCAATTGAATTTCTATGATAAGAATTCTAATACAGCGACGCACTAGAGTACCATATGATCATTCTCGCATATTTAGTTCTTCGTCGTTATCATGTTGCTCGTAGCCGACAAAACGTCCATATCGCCATCATATATGGATACAACAAAAAAATTATCGTTGTTATTGGCATCAACAAAACCACTAAATAGCTATAGTGTGCATCTAACCACACTGACTCATAATCACGACAGGGGTAGTCAAACTGTCCCATGCCACTAGTTGTCACTGCTGGAAAATAATTGAGTCACTTAAGAGAAATAATGAATGGCATACATTGATCGATCAATAATAGCCGAATGACCTTTACTTATCTTGTTATTTTTCTCGGCTACTATGTCATCTATTGACCAACATTTGATCTATTCACCACTATTAGTCAACAACAAGATGACAATCAGATTCAACAATACACAATTAATGTAAACAAATTTATATTCTAATTCGACATACTGACATTCTATTATCCTCTTTCTTGTTCTACTCAGTGTTCATCTCTTTTCATGGGACGACAATCTAGTTAAATGTGAATTAGACACGACTAGGCAATTCAGAAAGGTGACTACGTTGGCAGACTATTGGGAAAAGAATTCACTGTGTTATATTGATTATTATTAGAATATATCATTCCGAACATGACAAGATTGATTATAGTAAGTCAAGAAGAGTATTTAATATTTAACAAAGAATGCTATGCATCTGATTTAAAGCGATTTATACTGAACTTGTATTCGATACAATTAATATTCGAATCAATGATTTTTCTTCATATATCCGTGCCACATTATTACCAAATAATATTACGATGGTTAACCTTTTTGATCGCTTAGTTTAATAAAATTTGTTGAAAAACTTAATAGTTTATTGAAGAAAATATATTAAAAATATCCCTTCGTGTAGAATAGAGGGAAAAAATAACAAATGCAGCAAATGACATATGAGTCCTATAAAAAAGGGTAACAAGTATATAATAGTCACAAGGAAATGTTCCATGCTTAAGACTGTCAATGAAACTTTGATTTAACATAGTTAATTATGTGATCAATGTTCATGACTTGAAATTAGTCAATAGTGTGCCTAATATGAGTTGAAACTGACTCATATAATTCTTATGCGTTGATTTCAGTTAAGAAGTTAATCTAACAACCTGATTAAATTGTAAAGATTAAAGGTATATACAAGAGAAAAATTGTTTCGACCAACATACCCTGATGCCGAAAAAAATCCTCTAGAAAATCAATTTTCTTGACAAACACCTACTTAAGAACGAAAATTCCAAAATAACTCAAAATTTATGTTTTAGTAAAATATTCATTAACATATAACGTGAAACTATTGAATAGCAACTACTATTATAGTTGCTATTCAATTTAGAATTTAAATATAAGTGAAGTGAAGATACTCACGATTCCTTTGGATTCACTCACAAGCTGAATAGATCAACATCATGATAATATAGTCGCCTAAAGCTACAAAGGAAACTGCTAAATAGCCTTTAAATAATGAAAAGAGCTGAATCCTCGTAGATACGGTTTTCTCGCATGAAAAGTCAAAGGATATAATGAAATTTTCTTACATGTTAATCACTTAAACACACGAATAATTTTAATTTTAACATAAAGCGATTAAGTACAATTGAGAAAAACTTGGCAGTTAATGTTAAATATTAGTTTAAAACTTAACTTTAAATTAATGTCAAAAGATAATTTCCACCAAAGCTCGGAATGATATAGGAAGGAACTGTATTTTCCGTTTCTTCTGATGAAAATTCTTTCATGTCACATGTTTTCAAAGAATTTGAAAGAAAAATAGGAAAAAATATCAGTTACTTTGTACATGTGTGCTTCATGATCCTGCAAAATTTTGAACAATTTCTCCGATAGCAATGGATTCTTTGTATAGGGATTGTTGTTCAGAACAAATCTGAAGTATTTTCAGTTCATAATATGAAATTCATATTACTTTTCAGTTAAAGGGTTTATATGAATTCACAATATCTTAAGCAGTGCACCTGATAGTTATTAATCTGTGAAAACATTTTCAGTTAGTCTCGAGTTTTTAGGAAAATCCAAGTAAAACACAAGTTAGAAGTCCATGAATAAAAGCACTCGCTGATAAACTGCTTTAATTGCTGCTTATTATCTCATGGACGGTTTTGAAATAATTTAAGAAAATTCTAAATCCTAATTCTATTTTCTAAATAAAAGAAGATTTCAATGAATTTCCATGAGTTCGTTTTGATATTCCGGTAAGTTATTTGCCGAGACTTCTAAAATTCTGTCTCAACTTTCTCAATTTTGACAAACATTTCTAGGAGAGAGTTAAAATATTCAGAAAAACATGTAATTATTTTACAAAATCAGATTGAAAGAGGCACAAGTCTCGAAAACAAGAAAATTAGAAAAATCATAACTGTTGAGAAGTTTCCTTAAATCTGTTATTCGCTTGCCTTTAAGAAACTATAGTAATTAATGTAATTAAATTAAAATTTCAGAAAAAATGCATCAGCAACAATTAGAGGAACGCCAAAATAATAGGATGCATCATTTCTCGGGTGCAATTCCCTAAGGTGTCAAGAAATATTTTTTAATGATAAATCTTTTGATTGAATCATCAGCAGGAACTCTGACTTTCACTACTAACTATGCTCGAGTCGACTGGCATAAACATGGTATAGTTGCAACACGATTATCTCAGAACTTGAGATAATTACAATCGATATAGAAATATTATAATTTACAATTATGAGGCTTTACTAGTGACTGATTTTCTTTGTAAATTTGACAAAAAATAGCAAATATTAATTCTGAATAATAACCATGAACATGATTCCACAATAGAAAGAACCACTGCTTAATCTATTAGTTGCAGTTTTAGTTCCAAGAATTTTCATTTTTACTTTTGTTAGTTATCATTTCCATTTATATTTTTTTGGAAAATTGAGAAAACGAAAAATACAAAAAATAAAATAAAATAATAAAGGCATTCAATAAAAGTGTTACACATATATTTATATTTAAATATGAGGCTTCTCAATCGACAATATAGATATCAATTCAGATTTATCTTTTATATCACGATGAACAATAGGAAGATAACAAGGAATATTTTTATCATTTGTATTCAATGTAATAGCTGATATCATAGTTGTATCGTTTGGAGAACTTTCATCAAGATAAATAATGAAATCTTTTTGGCTATTAGTTGATGTTGAGTGAATACCTGATACAACCAGATCATTTGTTAGTTCTTTTTTTTCATCATATTTCAACTAAAATATGCATAGAGAGAAATCTTAGATTTCAATCGTTCTAAGAAAATAACTCACATGAAAAATACGATCATCTTGTTTACGAACTTGTTCCATACGCATGACTTGAATGAATTGTTTTCGTCTTCGAATAAATCTCAAATTAATATTATTTTGTTTCCTTTCAGAAATATTTCTTAACGCTAGTCCATAATTTGCTACAAAGTTTTGTATAGTGGAATTCGAATCATATAGAATCGAACGAATAAATAAATCTGTCTTTGGTAAAGAAATTTCAATATCAGAGAAAACTTCTAACAAATATTCCATTTGATGAGCTAAATCGTTTTCGAGAGATTTTAATAAATGATATTCCATAAAAATAAACAGATCAATTAGAGATGAGGGTGTTGATGAATGTTGATGAGCATAAATTGAACGAAAATGAGTTAAATAACTACGAACAATTGACTCAACAAGAAGCATTTCATCTTCTTTTGTTGAATAAGATTCTTCATTTGGTAGAACTATACTTTCAAAGAAACGTTCAAATATTAAGAATAGATTATTATTCATGGATTGTGATGGATCAGGTATAGTTTTAACCAAAGTTGATGGATCCATACTCTATATTTGAAAATTAAATAAACGATCAGAAGAAAAGAAGAAAAACCCAATTGTTTACTTTTTTAATATATTTCATCAATATATGTTCATCGTCATTTTCTATATAATTTGCATAATCGATCATATTCATTTGATTTGTATCAAACAAATGTTTTAGATCAATATAAAAATCACTTTCAACAAAACTAGTCAATGAAAAATAAAAGTAAAATTTTTCAAAAGTTTATGTTTCAATCGATATTACTTCATCCAATTATTGGAAAAGATCTTTTTCGTGATAATATAACTATGAATATGAACAATCTGTTCGATTTGTTTTTCTAATTTTGGAAATTGTTTTTCTGATAAAATCTTTTGTTGAAGACGAAGTTCAAAAGATGCCTGCGTCGAATCACTTAAATAAACATGTAAACATCGTTGAGTTAACCAGACTTAAAATTAAAATAAAAGTTATAATTCACATTATAAAAGAAATAATTTTATTTCACAAACTTACGAGGTACTTTCGTTGCATATGAAGGATCACACATGAGCCAAATTTTATTATCAATTGATGATAACATAAAATCCTAAATATAATAGTTTAGTTAGACAATTTTTATATTACATGCGAATCAATTTTTACTCGAATTTGTAATAGATCATCGTTGAATAAGTTTATGTCTTTAATAATTAACCAACAATCTTTTTTACTGTGAATAAATCGATTGAGACGTTTCTTATCAATTGATGAGACGAGCCGAAGAGATTTTTTCATTTGATTGGCTAACGTTCGAATTTCATTGATCGGATCAACAAAGGCAGACGAATCTATTAAATAGAGTATCATTTTTATTATTGAACAATCAAATAAAAGTTAATTTACTTGTCCAAACAAGAATAATATTGTTCATTGGCTTGAGGATATCACTACTCGTTAATTGATAAATATCATCTATAGATGACAATGATTTATCATGAAGAAAACCACCATAATGATAAACTAAGAATGTACGAGTTATTTCAAATATCTAATTAAATAAAATAATTATTTCTAATCAAAAAAGCATTAATTTTACTACAAACTTTCTCAGGTTTTAAAATGATCAAAAGAATAAATCGATCAATAATATTAAGTGTTGTTGTTTTTTCTAATGGAGATTTATTAATAAAATCAATTTTAGTTGTTGAATACAAATATTCTTTCCATTCATGTTGATAATCAATTAAATGTTCGGTTAAATTTGGATATTTTGCATTAATTTCATCGGAGAGACATAATAACCATGAATGGCTATTAATAAATGATGGTCTTTTTTGATCATCAAGAAAATTTGGAATTATCTGTTGATTTAATGGATTGAGTTTTTTAAGAATAAATTCTAATAATTGAATGTTGTCCTTATTTTCTTGTTTAATCAATGCAAATATAATAAGAAAACATTGAAGATGATCATTTGACATGCTTGATGAAAGATAAGAATAAATTGATTCAAAACAACGAAGATAAGTTTCTCTTGCTTGAACTTTGCTAATCATATCTAAACTATTATTATTTGCAGTTGCGGTCGTAGTTGTATTTGTATTTGTATTTGTTTCAATTCTTCTCGATAAATTATTTGTTACAATTTGTATAAACCATTTTATAGGAATTTTTAATTCTATTTCAGAATCTCTTAGTAATATATAAAGTTTTGCTAAATGTTTTGCTGTTTCTCTATATGCTTCACAACCTGTTCTTGAACATATTATTTCACGTTGTACTTGATGTTCATTAAGAGAATTTTCAATGGAAACTCGATCACAATGAAAATTATTTAGTATTGTTAATAAGTCTTCAGAATCAATAGTTAAATTTTCTTTTGTTTCAAGTATATCAATTAATTTTTCCTAAAAAGATTTTTTTGATTTTTATATAAAAATGATTTTTTATTCTTTAGTATTTACTCGTCGTTGAACTTGTTCATTTATTGCAATTAAATGGTTACGTTGATTTGAACGAATTTGTTGAATAACATTATTTTGACATTTTAATTCAACAAGACGAAGCCAAAGATCGTTTTCAAGTTTACTTAAACTTAAACTCATGTCGATTAAACGACATTTCAGTGAAATATTTTTCCATTCTAAATTAATTCGAAAAAGAACAACATTCAAATAATTATTTGTTTTTCTATCTTTAGATACTTACGGATTCGATCAATTTGACGAAAATTGAAAATTAAACGAAACGATGAATTAATAAAGATATCTTGATCACCGAAACGATAAAGATTTGGAAATATTGATAAATATTGTTGTTGTCTTAATGACCAACGCAGGAATCGATATAAAAATGAATTTAATTTTAAAAATTCACATTCATCAATTATGACAATTACACCTAAACAATAATCAATGTTCAAATTGGAAATGTATAAAATATTTGATAAAACTTATTTAAAAAAAAGCAAAGTAAAACAAAGTCATTATGAATAGATTCTTTTTCTTATAGCAATACCATTCAATTCCATTCAAAGAATAAATACTTATTTAAGATTATCATGAAAAGAAAAAAAAATTGAGTGAAGTAAGCGATGTCTTTCAATGGAACAATATAAATAATTATAAATTTTAAGAAATAAAAGTAAACAAGTTTCAACGACCGAATCAAGAAATAATCCCATAATGAAAGACCTAAATTTTTTCGACTACTCAAGTTCAGAATAGCTCAAGAGTATATCGAAACTGTTATCATAAATACAAAGTGTTAGAAAAGCCTGTCGATAAAGTAAATTAGTAAGAATACTCTATTGATTGAACTTGATCCAATAATACAAATGATAGTGTTAAATCTAGTCATAGGAAATTAAACCAATAAATAAAAAGTACTATGTAGTGTTATTATTAAACAGGAAAAACATGTTTCTTAAATTTCTTCATATCAATAAAAACTTCAGCTTAGTATCTATCATTTGAAAAAAAGAACTTATCGAAATCAATTCAATTCATAGCGAATTCAAACAGATTTATTTCTTTATGAGATTTTAAAAATATCGTGAGCATCTTCTATCTAGATTGATTCTATAACGCTTTTGTTATTGTTGAAATTTGGAGATAAAAGATCATGATGGTTTGTTTCTCAGTTTACAAAACCATGAATTTCGATGTTTATCATTTGTTTCTCTTATACACTTCTCATGGCTCATTCCAATCGGGCAGTTGTTTTTGTTTATCAATAGAATCAATCATTGATTATACACTAAACAAAACGTTCTAAACTTATAGATCAGAATTAAAGAATACAATCAAATTTTCATCATATTCTAATTAAAGATTTTTAATACAGAAATTTTTCAAGACTTGAATTAAAACGAATCCTTGAGAATGAATATCACTAATACATGCATGATAGAAATTTAATAGTGTGATAAATTTCCAGAACTAGATTGAAATTTAAGGAATGACTTATTAAACGCAACTTGTTTTCTTTTTCAAATATCCAATTCAAAGAGAATATCAAATTTTCAAAACTAATAAATGTTTAATGCGAAGACAGAAGTAAGTCTTACCAAAAAACATAGCAGCCAATAAAGTTTTATCAAAATCTTCTGTTTGTTTTCCAGATAAATGAATAATATTATTTTCTGGTCTTTGATATTGTTCAAGAGAAAATTCTGGTATTGAAACTAAATGTTTATTCTGTTCTAAATCAGATAGAGCTACTGATCCAGCTGATTTTGTCAAAAGCATTCTAAAAGTAAATAAATTCATTTAATCGAGTAAATTAAATTAAAATCGAGTACGAACGATGTAGCTGGTCTTGAAATAGCTGTTGAAGATTCCCAAAGTGAAGATTTTTCTGTAATTTCAGTAATATACGTTTTACTTGAACTAATACGTGAGTAAATTTGTGATCGATCCTGATAACTTCCAATACGAGTATCGGCGGATGATGCATTTATTTGATTTTGTTTATATTCATAATATAATTCAATTTCTAAAAATAAAATTTCTCTCAAAATTCTTTTCTCTAAAACGTGACTATGCACTCACCATGATTTGCTTTTTCTACATAACCACTTTTCAATTTAGTCAATAAATCATTCCATGCAGATGTGTCATCTTCTGGATTATTAATAAATAAAACGAATGTATTATCAAGTTGATTAGATAGAGATATTGCATTTAAAAGTGAATTTTGATCTGCCATTGACGATACTTCTTGTTTTAATAAATAATCATTGAATTCTAAATAGTAATAAACACAATTTATAATTTATTTTTTTGTTACTATTATAAAACAAACTAATCACCTTTTTGATTAATAATAATATTAAGTGGATTGAAATTTGACTGAATGGGTAAAATATTTTCTAAAATTTTTGTTTGCCAATTAAGTAATAATTTTTCACGTTGATCAATATTAAATTGGGATAGATAACAGAAATAAAGAGAAGCTAAAAGTGCATCAGTAATGGCTGTTTTTTTATTTAATTTTCCTTCATCAACTTGTTTTTGCCAAAATTGAATATCATCATCAATAAGTTTAAGCATTGAACGAGTTTTATCAATTGTTGATTGAAAATGATTCTGTCGTTTTTTCTTCAATTGTAATTCATTAGTTTGTGAACGACGTTCAAGTATTAATTCTGATAATTCTCCTCTTAATTTTTCAGCTTTAATACGTTTTTCGCCCAGAATATGTTGACGCTATAGAGAAAAAGATAGAATTATAATTTCTGATTTCAACAATATCATATTTACAAATAGCTAACACGTTAGAATCAGAGTTATTCCTGTCGGCATTTTCTTTTTCTATTTTCAGGGGAAAATACAGATTTGAGAAAAATAGATAATAATATTCATCTTTGAAATTTAATTAGTTTGTTTCTATAATACGCATATTCAATCTAATTATTTTCGGTACAGAAATATTTTGATATCTTAAATGTGATTGGCGTGAGAGAATGTTCAAACTATACTTAGAAAATAGTCTCTTTCTAATGCTCCAAAAACATCAACCTACTCTAAAAATTACGCTGATTGTTGAAATAAATATTCTTTTAAGAATATACCTTATTATAAAGTTCTTGATACGTTTTAACTTGCTCAAGTTTTGTTTTTTGTGATCGTGCAATTTTGGCATATTCATAAACAGCAAGAATCCATGCGCAAAGACTCGATGCTGCTTTAGAAGAAGATGCAACAAATGATGGATGAAATGTATCAAATTTAACAATTTTTGTTAACATATTAAATACATCATCGGGCATATTATCTTTATCATAGAAAATAAGATCATCAAAAAAATTTTCTTTCACCATTAAAATTTTCGCTTCCGACCATCTAAAAATTAAACAAATAAAAACCAAAAAATAAATATACATATATATATACTCAGGTTTTTTTTGAAACATAATACAAATTGTATTCATAACAGCCAGGACAGGTTGTGGTGGCTGTCGAAATGTTCGAATTTCATCATAATCAGCTTTATTTAACATTTTTAATGCCTTTAATGCATTTTCATATTGTGGACTTGCTTTATCAACATCTGCTTGGGCATCTTGACGAAGGCGATCCAATGCAATGCTCATTTCACTAAGTAGTTTTTCTTCTTCACGACAATCTTCTACAGCCTGTTATTTTTAATTTAATTTAAAAGTATAAAGTTATTGATTATTAACAAGACTCACCGTAGAAAAATTCTTTTTTTTAACTGCAAAATTAGCATCTAATTTGACTAATTTTTCTTGTATCTCATCAATTTCATTTTGAAGTTGAATACAAAATCGACTGTTCAGCTCAATTATACGTTCCGATTTATTACTGCGATTAAGCATTGATTCACAACGAGATAGACGAGTCTTTATTTATTTTTTAATAATAGTAAGATTTTATAAAAATAAAAAACAAGAAATTTGCAACTTACTTCTTCTTTTTCTTGAACATGCTGATAAAATTTATAGAAAAATTCAATGGCTTTTTGAACGCTTTTCAAAGTAAATAATCGATAATGATCCATAGATAAATAAATCTCAGCTAAAGCTTGTGAAACTACATCGAATATCGAGGTAGATTCAATTGGATATAAAACATCCTGAAAACAAAAAATATGATTATTCTAATAGGATAAAATGTTATTTTAGTTTCATATTATCAGGTTTTACATATGTACACAGGAACAAAGTTTTGCTAAGATAAACAATAAGAATTCGCATACTCTTGGATACTGTCATGTATATATTTCTTATTTTTCCGCGTAAAATAGTTTCTGAGGATCTATATAAATTTTTTATTACAATCATCGATTTTGTGACTATTGATGTAGTGAAAAAATCACTGCGATATTTCAGTGGACAGTGCAAAAGATTTTTGTTTTTCAAGTTAGATACTTCTAAATTGTAGTTCATAGTTAACTTTAAAATTATCATTCGTAAATAAGTTATTAACCAATACAGATATTTATCTAACAAAACTCAGTAGAATTGATAATATCAAAATATTCTTGTAATTATTATATGCAAACTTTGTTTTACTTGTATTTTAATTCTTCTTAAATCTATTAGAATATTTTAATTGTTAAAAAGAAAATCTTACAATTTTATTTGCCATCCAATATTTAGAAATTGATATAATTTCATCAATTGTCCAATTTCCGTATTCGTCAACATAACATGAAGACAATAAGCCTTCATGCCGTGGTTCTACATATATTAAAGAAAAAATAAGAAAAAGAAGATGAGTTTTCTTTTACGTTGACTATTTTCAAGTATAACCAAATGAAATCTTTTTCGAATTCTTGCATAAAATGTTTTTAAAACAGCATTTGTTTTTGTAACTCGACGAGTTGTTGGTAAATTTGGTGAAAGTGCTGCAGCAATTCTAATAAGTTCTTCATTGGAGTAAAGATTTGGATAGGTTCCCTCACACGTAAATATATATAATTGCTTGATCATTTCATCAGAAAGAAGATTTTCTCGTACGAGTACAACAACATTCTTTTGTTTTAATCCAGCTAAAAGACAACTTGATCGAAGACATTGTTTAACTGATTCATTTTCATCAATCGATGGTGCAGAACTATGAGCATCGAAAAATTGTTGTCGAGTTATATAAGCAGATAGTTGTACTAAATCTTGACGACCTAATCCAATATGATTCGTTCTCAGTAGTGCATGACCATTATTGGGCAAGCAAAATACTCGTACTAGATTTGTTACATGACGACATGTACGAGGTATAAATGATAAATCCATACGTGCAGATTTACTCATTCGTGATTGACAAGAACGAAGTGCTGTACTTATCTGTATATTATCAGATTCTTGATATTGATTTGTAAAAGAATTACGATCACCAATATAATCACCATGCATGATAAGAATTTGTTTAGAAAAATAAGTTGATTGGCTTAATTTTTCAATAATTTCTTCAGAATTTGTTACTTTTGAAGGATCTTTTATTTTTGGTAGACCAATTAATTTTCCAAATGGAACGATTGGACCTTCTAATGAAGCTAATGCTGCCCGATCACTAACAAGACCAAGTTTAAATTTAACTTGTTTCTTTCCCATTGTTATTGTTGAAGATACAATAGCTGGATTATTATTTTGAGAACTATTGTTTGTCTCTCCTTCGTTTATTGAGACAACATGAAATTCCAATTCAGTACAAAAATTGGCTATTATTGTTTTGTAAAGAAAATCTTGAAATAGAAAACGATCTAAACAGAAATTATTTTGAGAGAAATATTATTATTAAAATCAATCTTCGTAGAAAAAAAAGAACGTACCTTTTTGATTTTTTAATCGATCAAGGATAGTTCTTGAAATTTCATGACATAACAATCGAACAATGGTAACAACTTGTTCATCTTGTTGTTTCTTTTTATTTAATCTTGATGTCAACTTATTTAACTCTTTATGAGTTCCTCCTAAACCAGCTCGTTTAACTTTTCCATCTAAGAGTAACATTCCATTAATAACAGATTCAACATGATGTAAATTCCATTTTATTTTATTTAAATGTTGTCTTAAAAAATCGAAAATTTCCTCCAAGGTTAAAAGACAAGCATGTGCTAATTCAATAGGATGACTAATGGCATCAGCAGAAAATTCTTCTAGCCAATCTTTTATTGGTATTGAATAAATTGAACCGATCAAAGTTGAAATTGATTGATGAATGATAATTGGGACAAAATGTCGAGAAAAACGTGATGGATACGAATAAAATGATTGACCAGTTAAAACAATATTTAAATCTTGATGTTTTGATGAGGAATATTCATCGATCCATGAACGAATTAATTCTGTATCTTCTTGTTTAACATCTTCAACCCAAACAACAAATTTTGTTCCCCGAATTGATTTTCCATGAGTTAAAATAGGTAAATTATGTTTAAATAATTCATCGTGTAATAATGATTTGCGTTCACTACTTGAAATAAGTCGAAGATGATGAATATTGGTTAATAAACGTTTCATTAATGTTGTTTTACCAAAACCTTGTTCATAACTATAAATACCTAATGGATAATTACTTGCAATAAGCATTGACATTAAACGCATGGCACCTTCAAATTCTGGTATACAATCGTAAGTTATTTCATTTACTTTTAGCCACGATCGAACAAGAACGAAACGAGCTGACGACGATGCATTCATATCGGGATATAAATCAGTTAATTTACAATTCAATGGAGGAAAATCGTAAGATTTTAATAATTGTCGAACAAATGAAACAACTTGTTCTTCATATCTATAAATCAAATTAATTCAATCGGACAAAATATTTTCAGAACGAATATTTTTACTTGACATGAATTGGATGAACATAAGCCCATATAAAACAATAAACAAATATATAATCAAGCACATCATGATTATGTTGAACATCAATTAAATGTTGTTCAATAAAAGCTGAAAGAATTTTAATAAATGAATCAGTGAAATTATTTACATAAAAATCACAGATATGCTCGTTTTCAATATATTTCGTATAAGGTTCAATTATGTCATTTACAAAATCTTTTATCGATGCTAATCTGTAATAATAAAAAGAAAGACATGTGAAATATTTTGTCAAAAAAGAAAACTTAATTAGTAAACTTACGTTGAATCCAATAGATGAAGTTTTATTTCAAGATTTCTTGCTGCTGATTGAATTAATTTCATTGAAGATTGAAATTTATCAAGATTTATAATAAAAGTTTTATTAAATACGGAACAATTGTCATAGAATTCATTTGGTAATTGATCACATTCAATCATTAATTTTATTGAACCTTTTTTCAATAATCAAAATATTAAAATAGGTTTAAAACTTTCGTTTTTATTTTTTACCATTATGATGAGATAATGACGAAATAAATTCATTGTAAAGATATTGAATATTATCTGGTGTTAACCAATTTGAATGAGAATCAACATCAAGAACAATCCAATATTGATCGAATGTCTAAAAATGATAATACAGATGATTCATTTTAAAAACGAGCAAACAGTATTTACCGCATCAGTTGCAACTGTCGTTTCATAATATCGTTTCCATTGTTCAATGAAGCTATTTTTTGCATGATAAAACTTGAAAAAGAAATGAAAAATTGTTTTTTTAAAACAAAAATATATGCGGATTTTTTTGCTGCTCTTACTTGATCTGCATCAAATGAATTTGGAAAGACTTTATTGATTATCACTAATTTTTGTTGTTCATCTTCAGTAGAATCAACCTTATAAAATGGAAAAATAAGTAAATAAATAAAAACGACTGATCTTTATTCTAGAAAGAAGAAAGAAGAAGATGAGAAAAAAACCAAAGGATTAAACACAGATATAGATGTATTCTTACACATTTGTTGTATGATAAGAAAAAAAGAGTCGAATTAACAATGTTGACTCTTAATACATCCTAAGTATTTTATTTTAATTGTTCAAATAGGATCAAATAGAAATATTTTGATTATGTTTTAGTTGACTTACGCTAACTGTACTCATTTGTTTATTGATAGTTCGTTCAACAAGACGTATTAAACTTGACTTAGCTGAACCACATTGTCCAGTAATAAATATTAAATCATTTCGTTTAAGTGCATAAATTAAACGTGAAGCCTAAAAAAGGATTTCTTTTTTTTTATAGATAATTTAATATTTTCAATTTTTAATATTTACATGATTAAAAATTTGATCATTATCAAACGTTATTTTATCATCGTATGCTTCTTGTTTTAAACTGTCAACAAAACACAGTTCATCATCTTTTTCATTCGATTGATTTTCATTTTCAATAAAAAATCTATCGAGTATTTTTGGAATATTGGAATCATATAATTGATATCGTTTGAGAACAATAACAATTGCTTCTCTTACGTTGAAATCAATCGATTGTTCAATTATTGATTGAAGAAGAATATATGGTGAGCAAAATGATTTTATTTCATTAAACTAAAGTAGATTTAATTGGTTGAACAACAAAAATAGATTTCACATAGACTTACAATCAATCTTAAATATTCAATAAAATCAACGAGATTTCGTGCTGTTTCACGGCAATCTTCTTGTTCATTGATTGTAAATAAATGATTTTTATATAATAATAATTCAGCAATTATTTTGAAATCTGGACATGACATTGATATCGTTCGACATTCAAACTATTTAATATAAAATAATTTATTTTCTATAAATACATTGAAAGAGATATACTTTGATGGTTGATGATAAAGTTCGATAATGATTATCTAATGTAGCAAAGATTCCATATGTGAAAGGATATTGAATAAATTCTTGATTATGAGTTATTATATAATTATATTCAGTCGTATTCTTCTTTCTCATCGGATATTCATTCGAATGAGTTTTATTCTACAATTAGATAATATTAAATCGATTTTTTAAAATAATGAATATATATATATTAGAATATACTTCATTTATATTTGATGAAAGCGAAGATTGAAAGATATCTGATTGAGATTTGAAACGTTTAAGTGATCGATTAGAATTATTCGATATGATTTGATGTTCTTCTAATTGAACACGAATATAACGCATAGCTACTGCCAATGAAGACAAACAGTCTAACAAATGATAAAGAATTATTTTAATAATGATAAATTAGAACAAAAATATTTATAGTTAAAAAAAGGAAATCATTCACTAGTTTACTTTTATGATAGAATTATATTTCAGAAACATCATCTCAAAAGAATCTCGATTAGTCAATAATGATATATCTTGTATGTATGCGAGATCATTTGTTTTAAGAAGATTTACATCAGTTTTTGGCACTTATTAATCAATAGGAGAAAAGAAATGAAAAAAAGATTTTTTCTTGGCTTTGTTTCTTGTTGAGAATCCAGGAAAGAAAATGAAATACTTGATTTTTATCATATTTCAATTGAATATTCAATACCTTGTATTGTGCAATGATTACCAATGATAATGAAGTTCAATCGTTGAAAAACTATAGAATTTCTATTATTAAAAATAAAGTATGTAGATCTTATTCTAGTTCAATGTTAAATTAGACTAGACACAAATTAATCGATTGTTATGTTATTTAGATACAATTTAAAGTAACGATAATGTTTCAATGCTTCGATACTTTTACTTTCAAACTCGACTTTCTTTCGTGAAAAGATTCATCTACTATTCTGTATTCATGATACTTAATCTTAGTTAAATCTTCTTTTTAATTGAATATGAACTATATGAATAATATTTTATTCATCGACAATATTCTACCATTAGCATAGTGGATCTAGTATTGATTCATTTGTTTTCGATTGAAAAAACAATGAAAAAGAATGTTTTAGAAAGTATAAATCAATTTTAATTGTAAATATTTCATACCTATTGAAAGTTGCCAAATATCTTTAAATAAACACCAACTATTTGATGTAACTAAGCCTTGATGAATATTTTCTATTTGATTAACTTTTGTCGATGAATTACATAATAAACTAATACAATTTGTTCCACATAACTAAATGTATTTATTCATTAAGTTTTAATTAAAGAATTGATTTTTGAAAAGAAAAATCAAGAAATAAAACCTGCGCTAAAGTTTGAATAATTGTCGATCGACCGTATTGTGCTGGTGCATGAACAACGCCAATGCGGTATGCACAAATAGCTTGAGTTAGTTGAAATATTGTTCGTTCCATCATAGGTGATATTACAAATGTTGATGATGGCTCTAAATTAAAAGTAATTATTTTCAATTTAAATTAGAAAAAAATTCATACCGATAAATTCAAAATTATAAGCAATTCGATTAGAAAATTGAACAAAATTTATTTTATTTTCTGTTCGACAGTTTTGATTGACTTCATATTTAATTAAAGATAACCATTCATAACTATTCAATGTTAAATTACTTTCAATTTCGATTAATTCTTTGAAGAAAAAAGAGAAAAAGAAAAAGAAAAATAATTACAGATTGAAAAAATAATTTTGTCTACTTGATAAAATATCTCGAAAATACAGTTTTTGAAGAATTAAACAATTTTGTTGTTTTGTTCGATTTGTAGTTATTGCATTTATTTGATTTTCGATTTTAAATCTAAATTATTGTTATCATATTTAATGAATAATTTGTTTTATGAATAAAATAAAAAACAAACTTTAACATTCGAATAAATAATTTTCCTTGTTTTTCAATTTGCTTTTTGAGTATTATACTAAATAGTATATGTTCAACAAGTAGCGTAACTTGTAATGGATATTGATTTTCTTCAGAATTTATTGAAATCTGTTTAAAGAGAATTTCAGTCAATTGTTCATTAAGTTTATTTTCAATTAATTCAAAAATTAATTTTGCTAATGAATATTTAATTAATTTTTCTAAAGATTGAAACCATTTAGTTAAACTTTGACTACTAATAATATGAGTACTCAATCCAATACTATCAATGATTGGTAAAGACAATTTTAATTTAGAGATTAATTTCAATTGTTCAGCATCTCTATTCGATAATGATATACCTTCTAATCGATAGGCTAAAATGAAAAGAGACACGTATTAGTTAACATTACGAATCTATGTATTTTTCATACAAATAGAACTTTAATTTAGTATAATTTAGATTTCTTACATTGACAAACATCTCACTGATAAAAAAAATCGATTATGATTATTTCATGGTAGAAGAAAAAGTATTGACATGGAAATAGATTTAATAAAAAAATTTAATAATATTGATAAATTTTGTTGAACATATTAAACGTAGAAAACTTCAAGTAGAAGTATGTGAAACTTTTCACTTGTATAGTTTACTCGAGAAATTTTTATCCTGTATTTTGTGCAAAACTACATCAATTTTAACCAAGTAGTACTTATATATTTCTCATTCGTAGATTTCTTCAACGAAAAATTAGAAAATAAAATAATGCAAATTGATGATACAATAATAATCTCATGTTTCAATATTATTCTCTATGTTAATCATAAAAATGCTTCAGTAGAATTGTATTTACACTAGGAAAAGTATACAAAATTTCATTTACAATGTTTTCTGTTAATAATATTTATTGGATATCTTTGTTTTATCGAAGCATCAAACATTTTATATTTAAGATGAAAAATAGAAAAACATAATTTTATATGTCATATAACAGAATGTTAACCAGTCAGTTTTGTTAGGCATTTTTGAAGGAGATTTACAGTTAAGCTCAAGTTATCTAGAAATTCCACGCATTGTTTTATTCTTTTATTTAGTTTTTATAATGAAACATTTCGAAATCTTATACTAAATTAATTAAAATTATTTCTTATATTCTATTTGTTTGATTTTTATGTATAAAAAGACTTTGCATATTTGCAAAACGCATAGAAATAAACTAAAATCTATTTTTATCTAATAAATAATTTACCATAAACATCAATGGCAGCTGAATTCATGGTTTGATTATTAGTTGTTCCAATGGTTTGCTCGGGCAAGTGAAACTCAATATTATGAACACCTCTAAATAACTGTCTAACGTATGGAACATAAAACCTTGGATCAAGACCAGATGAGATTAAGTTAACAAGATCTTCATTTGATAAAAAATTAAATCGACCAAATTTTGATCGATATTGTTCATTTAAATAAAAGTCAAGTTCAACAATTAATTGGTTCTAAAAATCAGAATACTATTTTGTCAATCAAAACTAAATTCAATTAAACTAACAAAAACGTCGAGCCAATTTTGAAAGTGTACTCGATTCATTTCTACTTTGGCTAAACCAGCTACAGATGGATTTTGAAATGCTAATTTTTGAAAATTCTATTAACAAAAAATTGAAATGAAATAGAATTGAGTTAAAAACAAAATTCAAGGAATTACTCGAAAACTTTCATCAATATCTGCAAATTTAATATAGATCTGTTTCAAATAGGTTTGATCATCGTTTGCGACTTTTAAATTCGCCAATGCGCTTCTTAAAAAAATCCATCTATTTTGTGTTTCAAACCATAATTGTGTCATTTCTTTAACATTATCAAATAATGCATAATATTGTTGAAATTGTTCATGGCGATTATCAATATTACTATGAAACGATTCATTACTATGCAGTAATAATAAACGATCCTAAAGTAGGTTTATTTATTTTGAATTTTCTTAAAAAAATGAATTTTATTTTCAAATCAAACCTCAATTAGACGAAGAATTTCTTGAGAATTAATCATAATATATGCCTCTTCAACAGTTTCAGCTGATAGGTCTGTAGTTAAAATTGCTTCTGGTGGACTTTTTTGAGCTGTTGGTGTACGTGAACGTATTTCACGATATCGACTTAAACGTTGTCGATACGATGATGTTAAACGATTTCGAACTACATATAAACAAACAAATAAATCATATTCTAATTTTAGTTCCGATTGATTTCACCAGAGACAAAAAATGAATCGATTTCTCGAGAGTAGCAGAATAAAATTTAGATTCTTTTTCAAACATAGTGTCGACTTTATTAGTTGATCGAGCTACAATCGTGATTAGCCACCGGAAATCATATCAGCGCTAAATTTTCTCGTAGGAATATTGTTACTCATCTATTGATTGATTAGATAAAGTACATACAGAGTTTTTCATCAGTCGATAAATTTGTCAAACTATAAAAAATGTCATCAAATATGATTTTGAAAAATATCTATTTAAAATATCGTTGCGATCAGAATTGAGGACGCTTATTGAATTGAGAAGAAATGTTATTATCTCTATACGTTTTGATACTATTTTTTAAATGTATATAGCTATTAAAGACTTCATATCATAACTCTTATTAGTTGTCAATTTCGACAAGAGACTGCAATTATTTATTATTCCTATAAATTTCCGATCTGATATTGAAGACAGAACATGTAACTATTTTCTATGTGACTTCACAATTATAAAATGTTGGGTCATTATTCTACAACATCTTAATTACAATTAAAAACAAATGTCTTTTATACAAAATCAGATGTCAACTCAAAGACATTATTCACATTCTGTATGAACGTATAGTTTATATATTTGAATTATTTCTATCAGAAAAATAATTCATAGACGATATTATAGTGATTAAATTCAATAATTTTGATTTTTCTCAAAATCTGATAAAGAGGAAAATATTATTTGGTTTTTTCTTTGTGACTGTTTGATATTTTTTAAATTTGACAAAATATAAAAACCAATATTAACCTGTAGCTATTTTAAGTGGTGGTCTATATTTGGCCATTCGATAATGAAGTTCACTAAGCCACGTTTGCATATGCATTAATTTATCTTTCAGTTTTTGTTCTCTTGTTGCTTGTTTATGTATTTGTATGAAAACAGCTTGATTTTCGATTTGAAGAATTTTTAAATCAATTAAATCTTGAATACGATAATTATATTGAGGATCATATTCGTGACCATTAGCCCGAAAAAGAACTTTCCATTGTTCTGCCTAAATAAAAGTTAATCATTGATTTCCCATTACTTTTATCTTATTTAAAAAAGAAAGAGACTCAAAAACATACAGTCATAGCATCACTTAATAATTTTTTAAGTAATTCAAGATTTTCTTCAAAATCTTGAAGCATTGATATCCAATGCAGAACTATTGGATCATCATCAGAAATCTTCTCTTTAAAGTCTTCAGCAATTTTTAGCCAACATTCGAGTTTTTCATGCGCTCGACGAATATTAAACTGAAAAAAAGATTTAAATTTCAAAATAAGAATATAAAATAGAAATGTAATACTTTATTAATAAATGTATTTTTCCATTCTTTAATTGCACTTGATGTTATTTCAAGATATTTCCATAGATCTTTTCTAAGATCAATTTCTATTGACCATCGATTAACACTCTGTATGTCAGCATTATCAACGTGATCTTCATTTACAGAACTTAAGCTATTGGTAGCTAATAATGTTTGCCATTCAGCATATTGTCTCAATTGTTTTTCAAGTCCCATAAAATCAATACAGTTCTAAATAAAAAGTAATGTTAAAACATTAATATGGATAAATATTATTTTGTAATACTTTTTTTAATTGTTTCACCATTTCCATTGGGTCTTGTCTAGAATCAAGAAAAATGCCACTCGTCGATTGATTATATAATAATTCCGCTTGATCTAAATATTTCTAAGAAAACAAACAAATGAAATTCCATGCTTCATGGCAGAGTTATCCTACTTCAAAAGTATCTCTCAAGCGTTGTTTTATAATTAAAGTTTGTTGTGCAACGAAATCAGCAGCATCTGATAATTTTTTTTGAAATAATTTCCATGTGTCTGTCAGTGATTTATCTATGAGTTCATTTTCATTGTCTTGACGTAAATGACCAAAATGCATAAAAATCATCTGACAAAGTGAAGAAAAAGAAAGTAAAATTTTAGTGTTAAAAAATAAATTTACATCAAAAAGATTTGTAAAATATTCAATAGTTTGTTGATTTGAAGAAAGTTCTACTTTATGTGGAGCCAAATAACTAGCATATTTAGCAAAGTCTTCAATAGCTGAAGGTCTCTGATCGAATATCTTAAAATGAATAGAAAAAAAAGTTTAATTTGAAAAACTTTTCAAAAATAGTGTTCGAACAAACTTGAAGTGCAGTTTGAAATTTATTAATAAGTATTTGTGCGTTTGAGCAAGCATAACGATAGAGATATTTTCCAAAATCTGAATAAATTCTTTCGACTTTATTACAAAGACCTTGACTTATAACAGAACAATCCATTTGAACAACATAAGAACCATTTGCTGTCGAATACGTCAATTCAAATGTACGTGTTTTATCAATCCAACCACGAAGAAGATTCAATTGCTCCTGTTGATTAATCAACAGAATTAAGAAAGATAAAAGTTTTTTTTGTTTCAAGAAACAAACCTCAATGAGAAAAACTTGTTTGTCCTCAGACATTTGTTTCATCTGGTTTGGTGTCCATTGAAGACAAAAACGATTTATCTCACATAACCATTCATTTGATTCACAATATGCATCCAATTCATCAAAGGATAAACGAAATTGCGAAAGAATATCTTTAATATCTGTTTTATATTTTATACTTAGACGAAAACAAACAAAAACAAAAGATTCAAGAAAAGTTGAAAACTATAATTTAAACTTACTCTTTTGTAAAAATTAATTCAAAGGGTAAAACTTCATGCCGATTTGTACTACCGAAAAATCCGTGACCTTTGATTGAGAGATTATTTGATTCGTTTGTCGAAGCTATTTTCAATAAAAAATAATTCCATAAGTATCTATCAAGTTTCATAATTACGAGAATAGCACATTATTGTTGAAGTAAATAGAAAACAATACTTGGAAAACATACAAAAAATTAAAATCGAACTAAAAGTCATTTTTTCTAATCAAGATTTATATGAAATTAGATAGGTGGTTTTAATTTGCCACAATCAACATACTTCATGACAAAGAAAGCAAAGATCGTTTTGCTTGAAGTTGATAATAATCAGACAATGCAAAACAATCTTTCATAGAAACAAACATTCCTGTCAACTTTGACCTTTATAATATTTTACTATGATAAAAAAGATAGTATTGTTTCATAATCCTATGAATGCTCTTCTGAATTATGAAAAATGTATCGATTTACTTTCGCTCGATAAAACAAGAGTAGTTATTCCGATATTTCACAAATTATTTGTTTCTATTTTATAGTTTTCACTGATTTATTTGCCATTATTGAAATTTCTAATATTTAACAGCTCTAAAAGAATCTAATCAGTTGTAAAGAACTTTCTTTTTCTTTTTACTCCAATAAAGCTTAATCGAGAAGAATAAAACAAACCTTTTGATTTTTGTTTTTGACATTTACATGAACTTGAGGATGTTTCTTGTAAACCTGAATAAAGTTCTTGCCCACATTTTTCACATTGACTCACTAATCTAGAAAAATAAATTGAATAATAAATCGATTGAACAAGCAAACAAGTGATTTATACCCTTCTTGTCTAATGATATCACCGACTTTATCAGCATCTCTCAGGCATGTATCTAATTCTAATATACTTTTCCATTGTTCATAAAGCATTTGTTGTGGTTGTTGTAGAATTGATTGAAATATTTCAGAATAATCATCCCATGATGGAAGATAACGCAGCATACGATTGGCTTGAAAAAAAAGCAAAATCATTTTTCTAATTTTACGTTTTAAATAAAAGCTTACAATCAAAATCACTTAAATGAAGTTTTGTTAAAAAGGTTACATTTGTCAATACGAATTTCGATAATGTGTCACGTTGAATATCACATAAACACGATGCTAACATTGCCGAACATAAGTTTAGAAATGGACAAATATTTCTAAAACGAAAAATTAGTCAGTTACACAAAATTAATCTGAAGGAAAAACAATTTTTCTTACCGCATATCATTTTGCATTTGCTCAAGTTCTTTACGTAGATTTTCTTTTCTTATTCGTTGTTCATATATTGAACCAGCTGATATATTACTTTTATTTAAAAATGAAATATAAATTGATGTTTTATCTAGATAAATAGCTTTATGTTAAAATTAGTCTTACAAAGTAACACTATCTTCTTCGAGACATTGTAAAATGATATGTAATTTTTTCCCGCATGTGTCACGTGTCATATCAAGAATTGTTTTTATGTGATTATAGAATTTTTTTGTATATTCTATTGTATCTTTTGTATGACGTTTAACCATTGTTTCAAAATCATTTAATGATAATGACATTCCTCTAGAGAGAAAATAGTTATAAAGTTTTGTCGTTGAATTTAATATTGAATTTACGGAAACATTTTTGGAAGTAACGTTATTTGCTGATATTCAAGTATAACTCGTCGGATTTCAAGCAGTGCCATTTGAAATATACGATTATTCATTAATAACAGATGTGTTTTGCTGATTTCCGATCGACGCCGAGAAAATCGAGAAAATCGAGCGTTTGATAACCACCTAATCATAATAATGACGTTACAAGTTAAAATATGTATTCAGGCTATTTTTCATTGTAACTTTAGAAATGAGTTTTTATAAAATTTCGAAGTCTTCGAAAGAATCAATTTCAAGGTATACATCATTATTAGCAAAAGTTTGCCTAACTTATACCCATAAACATCACAATAAATTAATCGTATTTTTTTCTGAAAGATGAGGACTATGAAGAAATGGTATTTTTTTCAATACAATAGTAATAATAATAATGTATAAAAGCGAATCCATATATCTTTCATTTTTTTTCTATAATTAGTAAAATACATAGAAGAAAAGTCTCGATAAAGAATTGGTTGGCTGGCACAATTGTAATCAATAGACTAATACTAGTCACTACTAGACGTCAGTAATAAATTTAATAATTCAATTAATAACTAGATAAATCGAACGAAACGTTTTTCTCCCTTTCCCATGTGTTTTTCCATGAATTAGAAAATTCCTTTTTTTACTTTTGAAATAGTTAAGAATGATTGCGAAACTTACAGATTGAATTCTTTTCGAATGAGATAATCTTTAAAAAATGGTATTTGTCGACATGCATGCCATAGTTTAGCATGTCTATACCATTCGGCTAATTCATAGAATTCCACATCAATTCCATTCTGTCGAATATTTAATATTCCAAACACTGAGAAAAGATAATGATTTTCTGGGTCAACCTTTTAAATATTACATATTAAATTTAGATAATTTACTAAATTTGAAAAACAAACCATACCTTGCACTCGGGTACAGTTATTAAATCATATGGATTATAATGACGATTGGTTGACACTACATTTAGAAAATATCGTTGTAGTTTTCCTAAATGACGCCGTTGAACAACATCAACAAGTGTTTCAAATCCATTCATTCGACGAGGTGTTGTTGATTGGATGTATTGATCGTTTTCCTAAAAATAAAATAAAATAGAAATTATATTTTATTGTAATAATAACAAGTATTCTCATTTAAAAAATTCTTTTATACTATGATATTTTACTAGTAAGTTGCATTTTTTCGTGAGAACTTTTCTACTCAATATTTTATTTCTATAGATTGATAACAAGCTGAAAATTAAGATGAATAATAAATTCGTTTAGATGTATCGATTGTAAGTAATTTCGATGTTCTCACAATGATTTGTTCATAGAGATACAACATTATTTTCAGAGAAGCCTTAAAATATATTTATACAATCATTATGCAGATCGTACGCACATACAGACAGAAAGATATATAGACACGAATAAAAAACTGTTAGTTTTTCTAAATAGTTTCCATTTTCTTCTATTCTCTATTTATTTGTGCTATTTAACGAACGTAGAACTTGATCGATCGATTGATTAGTTAAAAGTTTATATAATTTTTTCTTTATCTTAGTACTAGTTTATATATATCACTAGTGATATTCATTCAAAACACTTTTCATTGAAGGTATTTGATGATGACTTGGCGGGGATATATTTCCACTATTACTATACTTGAATATTGAATATCTTAGAAACAATGATCAAACAACTAGATGTGAGTCGACTCTAATGCTCCTTTTCCAATATTTCGAATTTGATTCTTCATTTTATCCAAAATAGGAGTATTAGTAAAACTTTTTAATAAAAGAAAAAAGCCGTATAGTTTACATGTTTCTGCTTCCATTGCTTTAATGCTGAATAATGGTCACTTGGATGTCGTTTTTGATATTCAACAATAATATCTTCAATCATTCTGGAAAAAAATTGTTCACTTTCAATATTAGTATTGGCTACTGAATCTATTAAAACATTTGGTAATTGTACTCCTGTCGCTAATATCATGTTTACGGGACGATTAGCATGCCAAACATATTCATCTAGATAAAAATTATTTCAAATTTGTTTTTTTGTAAATTGAAATAAATCAACCTTCAGCAAATTGAAGTGTTGCTGCTGGTATTGCTTGATAGATATTTTGTAACGTTATTGGACCATGCATAGTTATTTGTTTGTATTTCGAATGACTCTAAATAACTCTTAAGTTAATTATGTATGCACCTGTGTTTTGTTTTTTTTTTGAAAATTAACCCAATAGGTTCTTTGAATGAAAGCACAGAGAGCAAAAATTTCTATTATACTTATCAACAAACCAATGTCTATCATTCTAAATAATTATATACTACATAAATTGTACTAAAATAAATCTTTACAAAAATTTAAATAGAACCATAAACGTACTGAAGTTGGAGATTCGACATCTGATATTCGTTGTCTCTTGTTAACTGGTAAAGCAATGTGAGTATCATCGAAGGAAAGAGACGATGAACGTGTTTGATTATTTGTTTTCTTAATTGGTGGAAGAACTAGTTCTTGTGATTTGTCCTGAATAAAATAAGACAAGCTATCTAATTCTGTAGCAGAGAAAAAACTCAATAATTAAATACTCGAGTGAACACGTGCGAAAGTAATTTTTCGATAGCATTATAATGTTTTAAGCGTTTACAAGTTGTTCGAAGTTTTATCAATCGTTCATGATCAAATGATTTTAAGATGCATGATTCCTCATTTTGTTTTCTATCTTGATCAATAATTAATAATCGTTTTGCAAGTGCTTCAAGTAATTGAAAATCTTGCTCACTATATTAGGCAAATACATTTATGGAAGACGTTGATTCCGTAAAATTTAGTTACCGCTCATATTTGGTTACGTTTGTTACAAGTTTGTTAAATATATGATTTATTCGATTACGTTCCTCTTCGTTAAGTACGTGAGATTGATCAAAGAACCTAAATTATACAGTGATTGCGTTCTAAGAAAATATCTAAACATTGAATATACTTAGTCCAAACATTGATATCTTGAGAATCAAATTCCGATGTGTATTTATCACTTAGAGAAGAAAGATGAATTTCAGAATGACCTTGATCAGGTAGTTTGAACATAGTCAATAAAAATTTGAAAAATAAAAGTTCTAAATACGTCTATATTATGTCGAAGACATTAGTCAACAAGATCCTTTACCATTTTTATATATGTTACTAATGACGACACCTTTATCAGATATTCAACTGCTATTCATTATTCAGCATGAAATTATTTTCTTTGATGATAAGAAAAAAACGGTCAGAAAAAAACTTTTTTGATAATTTAAAATATTCGAATTTGTCAGTCAGATGTAATGTAGAGGTCGTTAGTTAGCATCATGTTCGCCAATACGAGTGGCATGAAAATTGAGTGGAAAGAAAATATTGCATGAGCATGCTTGCAAATTTCTAACATTCAATCGAGGCATTTTCCAAAATCAAACGCATATTAATATATTAAAATGTAATTAGTCGAATTTTCACCATTTTCATCAAATTCAATTGTACAATATCACATATAACCACTGAAAACTATCAGTAATTATGTTTTTTAAAATATATTGAAACATACGAAGCACCTTGTAGAATTTTAAAATAAGATCTTTTATAAACAAGACGTTCTGGTAGCCTTTCAGTGACTGGATAAAGATCTGTCAAATATGCTGTCTCGACTTGTCATCATGTTTCACAAATACGATTCGACTCAGTTTTGATTTGTAAGTCAAGAAATTGTCTGGTTTGCTCCTTTGGCGTCAAAGTAAGAAACTCAAGTATGTTTTTGTTATGTCATTACACTGATCTCAAATGTGTAGAATGAGAAAGCTCTCAAACAGACTATAACTATGCCATCTAAAATAGGATCATTTGTCAAAGTGGAGATATCTATTGTATTTGATTTTGTATTCTTATATACGGTTTTTTCTGCTTCCTTATCAGATATTGGATACTCAGTGCCAGTACATGTACTTGTACTGTAAAAATTGTACTTTGTACTTGTACTTAAGTACACTTGTACTCAGTACAGGTACTAAGTACAATGTGCTCAGTATAATGATGGGACTCTTACAGCAATCCTTTTAGGTATATTATTTTCTATTTTTTCTTTTTTGTATTAGGTTTTAAGTATTTTCTATCTATTGAATGTACTTTAATGATTCCAAAATGACTTCAAAATCGTAAATAACGGACGAATTGAAGCTTTTTTCAAATATTTTTTTATAGGTGACAACTAATATATAAATTCTATGAAGTACGTATTCGCGTCAGATTCCATGAAAAAAGTTAAAAAAGAGATTAATATCGATTCAAACGCCATTATTTTAATTTAATTCAAATCTGGGTTGTAGTCCTACGTTTTTGATTTTTTTCTCATTTGGTGATTTTTTTTCTAGTTGGTCTTTTCGAATGAATTTTTTTGATGCATCAAAGCTGATGAAATTTCAGTAACTGATGAGGCGAATCAAAAGCTTTTCAAGTGAGAGAAAATATAAAATTTAAAACGAAAAAAAACCAGATTTTTATCAGATAGAAATAGTGTCATTTCAATTGATTTCGGTCCAACGTAAGAAGAATCGGTTTTAATTTACGTCGCGTTGTAATTTCTACCTCACCTGTTACAATTATTCATTACAAGTTATAGAGCTATACTATAAATTCTATTCATTTTAAGATCAGTGGATACGAAAATATGTTAATATGGATGCTAGCTTATATTCTTGTTCACACTACATATATCTTTAGCTAACAAAACCAGTGGGCACTCAGAAAAATTATTAATGAAAACCTAATGTGAATTTGTACTTTGTACTTAAGTACGATTTACTCACGTACATTATACTAAGTATATTTGTACTCAAGTACAAGTACTAAGTACAAAAGGACTTAAGTAAAAAGTATATAAGTACAGTACGAAGTACAATTGTGAAGTACATAGTATTTGTACCTGTACTTTATGTACTTGCACTGGCCCAGCCACTGCTCCTTATTATAGGTTGTGTATTTTTCTGATTTCTTTCATTGAATATACTTTCATTATTCTAATCACCGGTTTAATCGATAAAGAAGTTTTTTTCCTCATACTTACTATATCACGGCAGTTTTCGATTGATCTCAATATAGACTGATGATTGGGGAAATTATTTTCTTGTTTTTGAATCATTAAGTAGGATAAAATTAAGTTGCATCAAGTAGTAAATACATATTGTAATTAATTACCGTATAACTCGACGAAATATTCAAAATAACTTACAGCTGTAACGAATAGCTCTGATATCGACAAAAAAAAAGAAAACAGATTATATTAGAATGACTACTAATTTTATTTCTGTGCACTCTACGAAGGAAGGTAGATCATAAGTTTTTATGACAAGGTTTAACTAGTAAGTGAATTTAAAAAAACTACAATTTACCAGTAAAATGATTGATAAACTAAAATAATCTGTGAAATTAGAAAAGGATCTTGACCTTCATTAAAACTGATAGTTTAGCAACAGTTCTACCGGTTAACCGCTAATTTTGATATACATACTACGATTTACAGCTACAACTGATTGATTTTTTTGCACCATGGATACTTACTTCTATATGTTCATTTTAAAGAAGTGTCCAGCAATTCGACAATGGTATAGCTATTAAACTGTATATTAGTCGTGTGAGTTGTTTATTTTCCCTTCAATCCTATACACACGCTTCAATTCCATAGGCATTTCACAGCATAAGAAAATTGAAGAAATAGAAAACAACAAAGAAAAACATGCGCAAATAAGAAGACTTAAGTTGTGTAACTGAACTTCACTATTTTGAGATGATAGTTATAATAGTGCATACTATTCTGATATGATTCTATCTAGTGAGTATATTGTCGATACTCTTTTACATGGAAGGCAAGAAAATAATTAGTAATAATAATAATAATCATTATTATTATTTTATAATTAAGAAAATTTTGACTTTTCAAAAATTCAACAAGATTTTAGAAATCTGATAGAATTTCAAATCTCCTTGACAATAACGAAATCTTTATTATGAAAGATTACCAAAACCTTAATCGCGTGTCTAAATGACTAAATCAATAGTATCACCGATTGATATATTTCAAATTAGAAGAGAAAACCTAATTCAAACATAAAAACTTTGAAGTCTATCATCTCGTTTTAATCTGGTGTTCCACACAGACAATATATCGATACAGCGTAAAACCTATGCTGTAAAAGTACTGTTGGTGAAAAATATGATTCAAAAAGGTTTTGGCACGACTGCGGATAGAGAATGGTATCAGACTCAAATCTAATTCTACACCCACGTCCTAGATATTTAGTTTCTTAACTGATCTTCTTTGTTTTTCTTTTGCGCGACTACAAATGATATTTATTGAGTAGTATTGGTATTGGTGGCTACAAGAGGAAAAACGAGAGTACAGCACAGTCAAATGTTTTTCAATCGACAAAATTTGTTCTTGAACATCGGCTTTATTTTGTTTCGGTATTGGTTCGTTTGACTAGCCATTGCTCATAATCATCGCATGAACTTTAATCTTCTTCTTTTGTACATTGCAAAACGCAAACCAATTGTTCATGATCTCTAACAAAATAATCCGAAAGCTGACGTTGATTATCCCAATTTTCAGATTCATGAGGTCGTCCTAAACGTGAATTTGGTTCGATGTGCAGCTTCTTTTTCAAGTCGCCAATGGTCATAGATAATGGTATATTGGCCAAAGTGATTTCATTCTGCCCTTTCATTGCTGATATTTCAACTGTCACACTGATTCTGCCAGCTTCTGAAAATGATTTGGGTTCCATGACTTTGGTAGGAATCCTATTCATCTAAAAAAAAACATTACAGGAATATGATTTATTTATACTGAACTGATAAATAGTGCGTTTTCTAATGTTTATCTGTCTCTGTCACGCAAATCCGACAAAGGCATACGTATATCTATAATAGTTAAAATCATTTCAATCAAAGTATTTACATGTAAAAATACATGAATCACAATAATAGTTTGTTATCATTTTTCATAGGTCACTTTCACAAGAATTGATAAAAGGTTTCCGCATATCATTTTATTCTATGAATACGGTCGAACTTTCAAAAGCTGGAAAACAGATTATCTTTTAAATATCTGAATCTTCTCGAGACTGACTCCTTGATGAGGAAGTTTTTACTCTATATTTGAATCACTTAAAAAAATGATGCGTTCTAGTTCTGACATACTTACACTAGTTGTTAGTTTTTCAGATGGTAGCTTTACTATTATGTGAAAAACAGAAGAAGAATGCCTGATATTCTATCCAAATGAAATAAAAACAACTCTATTCCTTTTTATTTCAAAAAAAATCTGTAATGTATCGAGTTATGAACTTGTTAGTTTATGTCGACATGAAATTTTGCCACGCTTTAAATGTTTTCATGAAAGAATGCTTAAGAGCTTGTGGAACACGCACGAATTTGTTGCTCATTGCTTTTGATTGGAAAACTATAGAAAGTTACCGCTTCTAGTCCGCATAATTTGTTTCTTTTTGTGGCATTTATCATGACAATTAATATAAAAGGTAGTAGAAAAGTTTGTTTACTTGCTGCCTTTTTCATAATTATTTGAAGGTTTTTCTCGTTTTAATTTTCAAACTGTCACCATTGATAGCTGATAAACCTACGCATTCAATTAGAATAGCGTCACTATTGTAGGTTTATAGGTCAGTTTTGTAAAGGTCATCAGCAGTCACCCGCAGACATTTAAATACACAGAGAAATAATATGAACTTAGATCTGTTGATTCTATAAGATTTAGAAATAACCCATTGGTAATCTAGCTACAAAGGAATAATAGATACGATTATGTGATAACGGTACCCATGATGCATGCATTCTAATGCATCATATTTTCAAATGCTACATAATAATGTTTTACTTGTAAAAAAAGCTCATCCATTAGCATGCATGAACTAGATGGCATTATTATTTAATTAAATCGTTAGTTGACTAAACTAGTGCTCATAGAATGTAAAAAGTTGCATCAGATAGCTATTCACTAACTACTGCCTTCATTTTAAGTTTCCATGACGCACAACTTAACTAATTAAAGAGTTTCGCAGAAAACAATGATCGCACAATTTGTTTGTCTGGTTGGACATTTTGGCAGCTCAAGTCTGTTTGTAATCTAACTGGTAACACTGCAATATAGAACTATATTTCATTTCATTGCATTTATTATTATGACAAAATGTTTTAATGGGTCACTGATGATAAAACACAGTTCAAGATGAAATATATCTGTGGAATTTGTTCTAGCTTATAGCAATATCACCATGTATGAGACTTCTATCAGGTATCGCTCAATAGGTTGTTCACTAGTTGTGTTCAATATTTGCAGAAAATTCGCATGAACCGGAATAATCGAAATCATGATCGATGAAAAAAATGTTCAGTATGTTTGAATGATTCGTATATTCGATGAGTATCATCTTTAATCATTCCTGAATTCGACTTAGTAGCAGTTAACATCCTTTGAATTGTAAACGATGTAGAGCAGTCGAAATAGATCTGCTCTTCAGTACTACAATAAAACTGTGTATTCAAAGCGACTCATTAATTTACATATTGACGATGATAACTCTACATGTATTCATGCTGAACGTGTGTAACTTTTCTTATTAATTAAGTCAATTTGTTACACCAGTAAGATCATGTATTTTAAGTTTTCTCGTAAGAATTCACTATTCCTGTGGAAAGTAACTGTCCCTATTCATTTGGAAGAAGTACCAAAAATGTGTGAAGCATAAAATATTGAACATGATTGCCAATGGTTAAGCATCATAGTTGACTAGTTCTAACATAATTATGACTTTCACTAGAACCAAAAGAAGAAACCTCTCTACTATATGACCTATTTAAAAATATACTTACAAATATATGAAGCACTATCTATTATATAGGGCAAAAATATTTGTTGATATCTTTTTTAGAGTTAAAATAAATAAACTCTTTTTTTTCGAATCTGAAATTTTGCTTATCATGATTACATTAGTTTTCAATGAGAATTCGTGCAAGATTCGATGCATGCGCAGAATAAACTTATTATCACTAGACACCTACACTTTGATTGTTTTATACGACGCGCTTATTAAAAGCTATTCAATTTAAGATAAATGTCTCAACAAAAAATTTGATCTGCTTGTACATGTCATTATTATTGTTTTAATTTAAGAAAGAGTAGTAATCAAAAACAAAGAGAAATCAAAAATAAAACGTATTTTTACATTGAATTACATTTTTCTGAAAGTCAATACCCAATCAAGAAGCATTGATTTAAGAAATACTAACTTATTTTCTCATTCAGTTATTCATATAACATCAAAGAAAACGAAAGAAGTGAATTTACTTTAGTCAAATGTCAATGCAAATTTTTAATTTCAATGCAAATTTGCAACCCTATATGAAAAGATGATTCACACGCGTGAATTCATAATGCTGTAAAACTATACAAGACAATAACGCAAGAGGATCTTTTTAGATTTATTGAAAACTTAGACGTAAAAGAAACGTTATACCCAGTTGATCAAAAGTGAAAATCATGTAAGATTTGCATATAAATAAAAAATTATTAAGGTAAATAGAGTAAACACATTATGAGCAATACATTCAAAAACCAAATCAAAAGAATTAAAATAAATAAATATTGAATTCAATGTTTAAATCTCAGTAAAACATTGCTACTTGAAAAGATTATCATCTACAAGACAACAACAGGGTGATCCAAGTGACATAAATAAGCCTGGTGAAGATTTTAATATAGTTATGCAGAAGTGTTAATCTTGAATGCTTATAGGTATAATCATAATAACTTCTCTTTGATGCAAGTAGTACAAAGTTGGCAATTTTATTGGATTTGATGCTGAAGTCATCGAAATCTAGCTAAATTTGCCGATATACGTATATGCGAACGTCTAGTCATGAACAATATAAGTGAAACTATCGGCGCCTACAGTATTCAGATTATATTACTGAACTGGTTAATAGAAATGCATCAAAGATTAATAAAACGATCAGCAGAACAGCTGTAAACATAAACAATAGATACAAGATGATTGCCATTTGCACACGTCGTCTTTTTCTAGATGAATAATTATGCGTACTATACTGTGTTGCCAGATCTTTCGAATATTCAGATTTGAATTCCGGATTTTTGACTTTGACATCTGGCAACACTGGTACTATAACAAAAGTTAGAATATTTTCTCAGACGTTGAATATATGCGATTCTGCAGCAATACATGCTATTGTATTAAACACATTTTTCATCTTTACCATGTTTGAACAACGAAAACTATTATCAAGAGAAAAATTTACGTAAATAAACAGATTTTCGTAGGTGATACACTGATGACAACGATTCATATGACAAAATTAGTTGTGAATCCACGATTTGACTATTTTTCATGATATAAATCTGGAGTTTTTATTTTATATTGTCAAAGACGAACACATCATAGTTTTGATATTAATTTTCCCGAAAAAGAATTCACTTTTATTTTGTTATAGTTATACAAATGCGAAGCTTAAGCTAAAGAAGAATATTATTAAGTGATTTCTTGTTAGCCAATAAAATTGATGGTGGCAATCCTCAAGAAAAAAAAACTTGAACTAGATGCGTGAGAAATCAATGAGAGTAATAGAAAGAGAACGAGAAGAAAAAAACCAAACATATGAAATGAAAGACCAACAAGAAAAAGAACACAAGTAAGAATAATTCGATCACAGTATTTTTGTTTTTTTCTAATAATAATATATAAATAATTATTCAAGTTTTCAAAATAATAACTTTGTCCGATATAGGATTAATATTATCAATAGGAATAATATCATTAACATTTTTTAATTTTTCATAGCCACGATGAGACGGTCGACTACCAGAGCGTGGTGCACCTGAACGACGACCTTCGACAACATATGCCATTAACTTGAGAAGATAAAACAAAACAATAGAACAAGAGATACATGGAGCAAACAAAAAGCATTAATAATACAAGTATGATAAATAGAATACAGAGACTAAGACAAAAAAAGACGGACGTGTTTTTTTTTCATCTAATCTAAGATGACTGTGATAAGCGTTGATACCGTGTTGAACTCGAAATTCCACCATGACGACGTCCAATTGATGAACGATTTCGCCTGCATCCTTCGATTAATAAACCCAGTATCTAAAACAAGCACGAGAAAAAAAAACAACGTCCGCTTTTTTCTCTATTCATTGCCTCTGTTGCTTCAATCAGAAAAAAAGAGCTTGATTAAAAAGTGAACGTTTATCTACCTTGTTCTTATGATGTAATACCAAATAGCCAATAACAACGAATAAAGTAAAAAGAAGAAAATAAGTGACAAAACTACCAGACCATCCATCATCATCAGCATATTTTCGAGATACTGGTGCTTCTAGAGAAAAATAATTGATTTTCACTATAAACTTTATTTCAGTAAAAAAGTCATTTAAACTAAAACATTTATATTTATCAATTAAAATCTAACTAGTAAGTATTTTTTATTGAATGCCAACGTATATTGACTACTGTTATATATTATTAAGATAGTTAAAGAACCTTTTTGATTTGCAACCAATAAACATTGTAAATAACACAACATTGTCTATATCTACGATATATTCTCATGGAAAACTTTGCAATTATTAGTGTTGCCGATTTTTAGAGCTGGAAATATGTTCGGTAAAAACGCATTTCTACCATTTTTCTTTAACTGATAATCATACATAAAAGTACCTTTTGGATGTACTCTAAAATAATGAATTTCAATAAAACGAATTCTGACTAAATCGATCAAGGCTGTTTTCACATAATCTAACGAGATTAGGCATGCAACGAACCCGAACGGTTCGGGTACTATTCACGACTACGTGGTCAAGAAAAAAATCCAAGCTGTTCGGGTTCGTTGCATGCCTAAACGAGATGATAAAGCAACATGATTAGGTTTACTCTATTTTCTTATCAATCGACTAACTATGTTTTTTGTTAATTTATTTTAATTATAGATTAGTTTTCTTTGTCTTTGTTTCCACAGTCTATAGATTTTCAAAACAGAAATTGAATCTGTACTAGATCTCTACCAGCAATATACGTGTTCAATGATTTAATATGACATATCAAATTGTATAATCAACTATGCTTTCTTTCTTCAAGTTTTCACACGAAACTTGAAAACTATAAGAAAAAATGATCGAATTCTATGACAATTTCTTTTTGTTAGGTCATAAAAAATAAGTTCGATTATTTTACAAATTATGTCTTACTCGGTCTTGTTTTAGATGATTCAGAACCTGAAAACACACGAATTCTTCAACATCATACTTCACATAAAACGAAAGTACCTGAATTTTTTGTATTCTTTTCTGCCGTTTTTCCTACAAAAGACATGCATTTTTAGTTAAGAATAATTAAAAACAATGAATAATACCGAAACCAGTTCTATCTTCATCAGTCGGTTTTCTAATGTTCATTCCACTTGGATCACGGTTGATACCTTTAAAAAAAATTTTTTTAATTGCAATAATTAATTTAAAAAATTGTTAAATATTATTCATATTAAGAAAAAGAATCGAAATATCAATTTAACGAAATAAAAGCTGTAAGCATTCCTTTGGTTGCAAATTTTCCCAAGAATCATGCCTAAGCAGTTCGTTCAATATGAAAGAGAAGAGAGTATGATTTACTATAAAAAACAGTTTTTTATATTTGAAAAGAAAATTTAGTTAAGATTTTTGAATGCATAAATATGTAGATGTACATGTATGCAATATATTGATATTTTAGCAAGAAAATTTATGTAATTAGTTCGAATAAAACCTTGATCTTCTGCATCTTCATCATCGTTAGATGGATCTACTGTTTTGACTTGTTGATCAGAATCATTAGCAGTACCATAATCATCTGGTGGTATATGTTCATTATCCGCTACATTGAGGATAAGAGATGAAAGTATATTTATCAGAACTAACCTGCTTTTTCTTTATCACCAACAGCCGATCGCAAATCGTCCTTATCAGATTCCTTTTGCTGGTCTCTTAACTGTTTCATAGAGTCTTCATCAGTATCGTTATCAACTTCATCTTCCTCTGGGCCATCATTTGGATCATTTGATTTCATATCACGATCATTATTTGTTTCTTTATCTTTCTTTTCTAAAATAATTTAAAAAAATATTAAGAATTCAAAGACAATATCTTTTTTTAATTATATTAGCTGATTGTTGAAAAGTAAATAAATCTTTCTCTCTTCATGATATCTATTGATTTCGAGAGAATGCATCTTAAATGAAGAGGTAGACGTTTTATTGAGCGTAGAAAGATTTGTTGTGAGTAAATCAAGAGTATTGGTTTTTCTACGCTTAATCAACGAATTAGCAGAGGTGGAGTTAATCATGTGTGAATCTAATCTATGTTTAATTAATTCAGCAGATGATATTTAATATTAATTCATTAAGTTTGTTAGAGAGAGTAAATCATTACGAGATTGATATTTGTCAGATGAAGTTAATTTGTTAGCTGATAGATAGATGGATTATATTTTCTTGTGTTCTAGTTTAATGAACTCACTATCTTGATTAGCAAGATTCGATGTTTCATTTACGATTGCTCCTTTGACATCTTTTGTCTTATCTATTTCTTCAAAATCAAGAATAATATAGAATATAAATTACTAGGAAACAACTTTCGACCTTCGGATACTTTACTGTCATGTACATTCAATAAAACTGAAGATTTTAAAAAGTTATTTGAATACGTGTTCTTGTTATTAAAGAAAATTGGTTTCTATCAAATGAAACTGTAAAAAGAATTTGCATGTATCTCATTATTATCTGAGTAAAATGGATCTTGTAAAAGAAATAGTGCACTAATCGGTAGAAAATTAAAACTCAATTACCATCCACATTGAGTTTTTTCACTCTAATCCCAGAAAATATCTATTTGATATCGTCTTGTATCTTGTAGCTTTATGATCTCATTCATGTGAATTTAAAAATATATTTCCATTACATCTCATGTCTAGAAGAAACTCAATAATAAATGATCAGTCAATTTCGTTTCTGTAGAACATTAATATGATACGTTTTCTAACTTTTGAAATCAACTATTTACGATGATAAGATAGAATTAAATAAATTAAATAATACCTGTTTCTCCTTCTTTTTTATTCACTAAATCAGGTTTTGGAATTTGCGCAGCTGCAAAAAAAAATCAATAAACAAAATAAAAAATAAGAGATATTGGTACCTTGTTCTGCTTCTTTCGATATTTTGTCGCCATTATCATCTTCATCATCTTAAAAGATTATTTCTAGTGTATAGATTCAGTGAAACAATAACTTACTATCTTCATCGTCTGCACTTGCTTGATCTTTTTTGTTTTCTAATTCAGATTTGTTATCTTTATTCAAATCCAAGACTTTCTGTCCATTTTCATCTACAGATTGAATTTTATTGTCTGCTCGAATCATAGAATCAAATAAATACCTGTTTTGGGCGAGAGTTCATTGGTTGCATTTTTACGCAATTCTGTTTTTTCAATGGTTTTATTCGACAATGATTCTTCTGATGGTTTACCTTTATCAACATTACCTTGAATCAGATCTCCAGAAAAAAGAAAAAAACATAATTTGATTTTTCTCAATCTAGTTTTTCTCACCAGTTTTGTTGTCTTTGTTCGAAATAATATTGGCACTTACATTTAGTTTCTCACCTTCACCCGCTTTTTCTTTTATACCTTCACCAGTTTGGGCAATCTTGTCTTTTGCACCTTCTCCTGTTTGAGCAGTTTTGTCTTTTACCCCTTCGCCAGTTTGCGCGGCTTTGTCTTTGATTCCTTCACCAATCTGAGCAGCCTGATCTTTGGTTCCTTCATTAGTCTTGTCCTTTGCTTGTTCTCCTGGTTGGGCAGCCTTATCCTTGGTTCCCTCTTCTGTTTGATTAGCTTTGCCTTTTGTACCTTCACCAGTCTCTTTTGCTTTAGTTTCAATAGATTGCTGTGATTTTTCTTTACTTGTTGGTGCTACATCAGCATTGCCAGTTTTGGTATCTTTTGCGGCTCCTGAAATTGATACTATAGAGTGCGACTGACCTTTATCTATTAGAGAAAAAAATTAGCGGTTTCATTTCAAACATAGGATAATATAAGAGTTAATAGTGGAAGGGAATTGGTATTATTTTCGATGCTTAGCATATTTTTATGAATTCATTTATGAAGCATTTTTCAAAATTCCTGAATTGATTATAATCCTCTTACATTCGATTAGTCGAGATCGCATAAATTCGTTATCAAAAAATAACCTTAGCGATTCAAATTTAATAGAAACTACAACGAGTTTTGCTAATTTAATATTGTATTTATCAAGTTTTCGTCTTGAAATCAACGTTTATAGGCAATTTACTTCTAGAATAATAGAAATTTCGATTCTATTTAGATTAAGTTGATGCTTTTTTAGATAAACTATAATATTTAGTCGCGAACGAACGTCTTCTTGGTGTTTAGAAAGCTTCAAGATTGATATTCACAAAAGCAATTTCTAGTTTAGCATCTTTTTAAACAAGGTAACATGTTTTTAAAGAAAAATGCCTATGAGATGTGATAGCTCGTCGTTCTGAGTCATGGTGTCAGATCGTTGCTGTACATTTTTTTCTAAAGATCACCAAAGCCTCCTGATAACTACTATACGGGCGTAAAAAATAATATTTCCATATTTATTACGATTAAATGAATATAGTTTCACTTTCATCAAGAAATCTGCTATCTTACCTGAAGCCTGTTGAGAAAGATCAGCTTGCCTAATAAGTGGCGCAATTTTATAAAAGAATCTTGCTAGTCGGAGTGTTACCGTATAATTTGTAACTGAATCACATAAATATTTTGCAGTGATACCAATATCTTTTTGTCCACCATTTGTTAGTTTATCCCATATCCATTGATTAGTTAATTGTATATTTTTCCTATCACATATTTCTTTGGCTGATGTGTTACTTGTGTATAGAGCTTTCGATGGACGTGATTTAGCTGGAAGCGCACAAGCTATTTCAAGCTCATATGAAAGCATATGACATAGGATTCTGAATCGTTTTACCAATTTCGATGGTGAACAATATTTAGTTAAATCATCCGATAAATTTTTAAAGTCGCTATCTAATCGAAGAAAATCATGAAGGTCACAACCTGCAGCAGTATTGTTTAATTTTGCTAATACATTAATAGCCTTGAATTTTTCGGTTCCCAATCCAAAAATATATTTTCCATGAAATAAAATCAAACTTAAAATTACCACCAATGAATTTGTCCTTAGAAGGAACATAGCTTTTTTTATCTAAAAAAAACTAGTAATTTTTTATACTAATGATGAAAATAAGTTAGGAGAAAAAGAAAATGTGCATTGAGACTGTAAGCATATGAAAAATGTTTGCTTGTAATCATGGTCGTTCTCTTTCTTTCCTTTTGCGTTTCGTGTAACTAACCAACTTGTACAAGTTGAATCTTTTATTCTCTTGACGATCGACAACCTACCGTTCTTTTTGTTGACATTTTATGACAATGATGCACAACATACATTGCGAATCTTCAATACATGTAAGATACCCCTTGTAGATTATCTTTCAAAAGCACTCTTTCATCTATGACTAATGAATACACTATTGATACACGTAAATGTATTGTGTAAATATCATAAGAAAAATAAATCTATACCTTTGTCGTTTCGATCGATTTTAGTTCTGTTAAAATACAAAAGAAAGAAAAAAATAAATTACTCATGAAACGTCAGCAATGTTCTTTATTTTTTTTCTAGAAAAGAGATTTTGTCCCGACAATTAGTTGACTAATCATAATAGTGATCGAAACACGACAAATATAGATGTCGATGAGTGATGCTATTCTGGTGACATCCAAGATTTTTCCGATGAAAATGAAAATACCTGATTTATTATATTTATTATTACTCGCTACTTGAATTCATATTATGCCTTTCAAAACGTATCATCCAGTCAATGAAATGAAGTACGTTCTAAAATGATTCGCTTCGAACTATTTTAGTAATTCAATCATAATCGTTTTCTTGAATTTTTCGACTAGTTTTGAGAATTTACTTGAATATCAAATAATAGAATTTCTGTGAGATGCATTCCTCTTTGATAGATTGATTGTTCAACAGAATATTTTTAAAGTTTTGTTCGAAAATAAATTTCATGGTGAAGCATTCAATTCATAAGTAAACGCGTATATAATTTCTATTAATTAATGAGGTAGAGTCCTCTGAGATAATTCGGATCAAAATTTTGAAAATTCATTTTGTTTTTGCTTCTTCTCAGTCATCTTGCATTGCACAATGATGATTTTTTAAACACTACTAGTTCAAAGCATGCCCTGTCGATTCACGAAAGAATCATACCAAAAAATATTATACCGGTAAAAAGTATCAGCGAAAGTACTGTGGAGCTGATCCGAATTACCCCATGTGGGATAATTCCGATCACTATAGCTATTGTCGCTGTTAATGACTTTTTAAACTTCTACCGCTTCTACAATGCAAAATCAATGACTGAGCTCTGAAGAACAGTTGTTTGTCTGGCTTTCCTCTATATCATCCTACGACAAAATATTACTGTCATGCAACCGGTAAAGTTTAAGACGAATTAATGTATTTACACAAAAAACGTGCACTCTTCTCACGCATCCGCCTGTCTTCCCTTAAGCAGCTCAACTAAAGAAAAGATTTTAGAAAAAATGCGTTGGGCAGCTCTAATGCAGAAATGTTTGAACTACAAAATGATATCTTGAAATCAACGGAAAAACGCTGATCACTACTTGAGATATGGTGAAAACTAACACGTTCACGTCGATATGTTCTATATTTCTAACAGGTGTTCAGCATTTAACCGTCAAAAAAAAACGTTATTTGAAGAAAACTAATACGATACTCCGAATCAGCATGCAAAACTGAGTACATACACACATATTTCAAATGGTTTTTGCGGAACGTTTTTTCCATCGAAAAATTCAGTTCTGGCATCCCCAGGGTTCAAACAAAAATCGAGAACTTCCAAACAACTGTCGTAAGGTATATCTAACGTGAGTTTTGAGTCATTATGATATTTTAAACCTTCTACATGTTATATCTACTATTTAGAAAAGCTTT